TGCTGTGTCGCCAGGGGAAGATTGAGTGACCTCCTCGACCGGCATAGCAGCGTTCTCGTTGAAGGTAAACTGCGTGTTGCGCGAGTCCCCGCTGCCGCCCTGCATCTTTGCGATGATGAGCTGATTGGTCCTTTGCGTCCACAATCTTAAGCTCTGACGGCCCGGCTACCAGCACGCAGGTACTCCTCTTCCGACGGAAGAAGTGAGCCCCTACGGCTGATAACCTGTGAACAATTTTAATCCTTGTTCCCGGATATCTGGTTGTAGTTGTTGGAGTCCCTAACGTCCTAGTAGCCGGAGTCCAGGCAGCATTGCTGAGCGGCGCAAACACCGTTTTCCCTTGAGCCTTGAGCCATATATTTGGCATCATGTCAGGCCTACTCCACATGCTTATACATGTGTGCAGTACCGTTTAGTTCCCTTTAGCAGGTTATTATATGGTTATTAAATGGTTATTATCTGGTTATTATATGATTATATGCTTATTATATGGTTATTATATGGTTATTATATGGTTATTATATGTTTATTATATGGTTATTATATAGTTATTATATGCTTATTATATGGTTATTATATGGTTATTATCTGGTTATTATGTGGTGATTATGTGGTGGTTATGTGGTTATGATGTGGTTATGATGTGGTGATTATATGGTTATTATATGGTTACTATATGGTTATTATATGGTTATTATATGGTTATTATCTGGTTATTATATGGTTATTATATGGTTAATATATGGTTATTATATGCTTATTATATGGTTATTATATGGTTATTATCTGGTTATTATGTGGTGATTATGTGGTGGTTATGTGGTTATGATGTGGTTATGATGTGGTGATTATATGGTTATTATATGGTTATTATATGGTTATTATATGGTTATTATATGGTTATTATCTGGTTATTATATGGTTATTATATGGTTAATATATGGTTATTATCTGGTTATTATATGCTTATTATATGGTTATTATGTGGTTATTATGTGGTTATTATGGTGGTTATTATTATGTGGTTATTATATGGTTATTATGTGGTTATTATATGTTTATTATATGGTTATTATATGGCTATTATATGGTTATTATATGGTTATTATGTGGTTATTATATGTTTATTATATGGTTATTATATGGCTATTATATGGTTATTATATGGTTATTATGTGGTTATTATGTGGTTATTATATGGTTATTATATGGTTATTATATGGTTATTATATGGTTATTATGTGGTTATTATGTGGTTATTATGTGGTTATTATGTGGTTGTTATATGGTTACAATGTGGTTATTATGTTGTTGTTATATGGTTACTATGTGGTTATTATGTGGTTATTATGTGGTTATTATATTGTGATTATATGGTTATTATATGGTTATTATATGGTTATTATGTGGTTATTATGTGGCTATTATGTGGTTGTTATGTGGCTATTATGTGGTTATTATATGGTTATTATATGGTTTTTATGTGGTTATTATGTGGTTATTATGTGGTTCTTATGTGGTTATTATGTGGTTATTATGTGGTTATTATGTGGTTATTATGTGGTTATCATATGGTTATCATATGGTTATTATATGGTTATTATATGGTTATTACATGGTTATTACATGGTTATTATAAGGTTGTTATATGGTTATTATATGGTTATTATATGGTTATTATATGGTTATTATATGGTGATTATGTGGTGATTATGTGGTTATGATGTGGTTATGATGTGGTGATTATATGGTTATTATATGGTTATTATATGGTTATTATGTGGTTATTATAGGGTTATTATATGCTTATTATATGGTTATTATATGGTTATTATATGGTTATTATCTGGTTATTGTGTGGTGATTATGTGGTGGTTATGTGGTTATGATGTGGTTATGATGTGGTGATTATATGGTTATTATATGGTTATTATATGGTTATTATGTGGTTATTATATGGTTATTATATGGTTATTATGTGGTTATTATATGGTTATTATATGGTTATTATGTGGTTATTCTGTGGTTATTATATGGTTATTATATGGTTATTATCTGGTTATTATATGGTTATTATATGGTTATTAAATGGTTATTATCTGGTTATTATATGGTGATTATATGCTTATTATATGGTTATTATATGGTTATTATATGGTTATTATATGGTCATTATATGGTTAGAATATGTTTATTATATGGCTATTATATGGTTATTATATGGTTATTATATGGTTATTTCATGGTTATTATATGGTTATTATATGGTTATTATAGGTTATTATATGGTTATTATATGGTTATTCTATGGTGATTATATGCTTATTATATGGTTATTATGTGGTTATTATGTGGTTATTATATGGTTATTATATGGTTATTATGTGGTTATTATATGGTTATTATGTGGTTATTATATGGTTATTATATGGTTATTATGTGGTTATTATATGTTTATTATATGGTTATTATATGGCTATTATATGGTTATTATATGGTTATTATGTGGTTATTATGTGGTTATTATATGGTTATTATATGGTTATTATATGGTTATTATATGGTTATTATATGGTTATTATGTGGTTATTATGTGGTTATTATCTGGTTATTATATGGTTATTATGTGGTTATTATATGGTTATTATGTGGTTATTATATGGTTATTATATGGTTATTATATGGTTATTATATGGTTATTATATGGTTATTATATGGTTATTATATGGTTATTATATGATTATTATATGGTTATTATATGGTTATTATGTGGTTATTATATGGTGGTTATGTGGTTGTTATATGGTTTCTATGTGGTTATTATGTGGTTGTTATATGGTTACTATGTGGTTATTATGTGGTTATTATGTGGTTATTATATGGTTATTATATGGTTATTATATGGTTATTATATGGTTATTATATGCTTATTATATGGTTATTATATGGTTATTATATGGTTATTATGTGGTTATTATGTGGTTATTATATGGTTATTATATGGTTATTATGTGGTTATTATATGGTTATTGTGTGGTTATTATGTGGTTGTTATCTGGTTATTATCTGGATATTATCTGGTTATTATATGGTTATTAATGGTTATTATATGGTTATTATATGGTTATCATATGGTTATCATATGGTTATTATGTGGTTATTATGTGGTTATCATATGGTTATCATATGGTTATTATATGGTTATTATATGGTTATTATATGGATATTATATGGTTTTTATATGGTTATTATATGTTCATTATATGTTCATTATATGGTTGTTATATGGTTATTATATGGCTGTTATATGGTTATTATATGGTTATTATATGGTTATTATGTGGTTATTATAGGTTTATTATATGGCTATTATATGGTTATTATATGGTTATTATATGGTTATTCTATGGTTATTCTATGGTTATTATATGGTTAATGATGGTTAATGGTTTAATCTGGTTGGTGGTTGAGCCCTACCCCTCTGAAAAATGATGGAGTGAAAGTCAGTTGGGATGACGAAATTCCCAACTGAATGGAAAGTCATAATCCATTCATGTTCCAAAGCACCAACCAGAAATGTATTTTAACAATAGGGAAATTACATAACTGGATTTACAGGGTTCGCAAGTTCTGAGACAAAGGATTGAGAATGATGTGCAATGGCTGAGATCAGGTATGATTATCAACGATTATTAACCATCATTAACTCAATGGATTTATGTTGAATCTACACCAATGGGAAGATAACCATATAATATCATTGTTAATAGTAATATACCGTGGGAAGATATCTGGCACCATTCATGTTATGATAATTCTGCAAGAGAAAAATTGTGGTTTCATCAACCACAATATCCACAATCCGGAAAAACACACCATGGATTTGACCAAGAAACCTTCAGAAAGCTCTCTCGAAAGAGCACGGTTTAATGTAACCAAAATGGTGATACAGCCAGATTAAGATTGCTATGCAGCAGCTAGCTATGCTATATTGATCTATATTGTCTATGCCAACCACAATGGCTCTGTTTTGTGGAAGGGATTGATATTGATCGATGAATAAAGAACCTAGTTACTCTTGGTACGTGGGGATACCTTTTGGAAGCTATTTGCTAACACCCGCTACCTGATGCCAGATCCTGTACGAAACCCATGGGTTTCGTACAGGATGTGTTTCATATTGGGAAGGTATTATATGTATCTATGTATCTATATATCTATATATGTATCTATATGCATGTGTATCTGTATATATTATATATATATAGCCAAAAGACTACTATTTAGGTGGCTTGACCTCCCAGACGGTTGATTTTGTGGAACATCACTAGCCCATCACCAAATCGCTGGTTACTCTACCCAGATGTCTTCCCACGGTTATGGATGTTGAATCCTCTGTTGATACTGAAATCCTATATTTGGGTGATTGAATCACAATGTTTTATTGATGATATATCTCATGTTCTTCTGGATAAATCATGCTAAATCCTCATATTGTGTGGTTAAAAAAAACCTGTGTGTTTCTTGCTAAATCACCGCAAAAAATCCCATGGTTCGAAATCCCCCGTTTGGATGGTTGAATCCTGCCCATGAAAATCCAAATTCCCCAAATATTTGGATGGATAAATTCGCCTGTATTCCCGGTTAGGTCCCAGTTTCTCCGAATGAAATCCCCATGTTTCCCCCATCAAATCTCTGGACACTTTCCATGCTCCCATTTTCGATACAAAAAATCCCCCACGTTTCACCATGTTCCGTCATGATTTTTCCCTTAAGCCAAAAGGGCCCATGACGGAAAATCATGTTCAATCCACAGGTTTTCCTCATGAAATCCACCATTTTTTTTCCACACGGCGGAGTAGAAAGTTTTTTGGCTTTTCTAAACCTCCCCGAATCCAAAGTTTATGGTGAGTGATCATCAGTGAACATCATTTTCCCCATGACTTCAATGGCTATTTTATGGCTCCTGACTGTTCACCTCAAAATCGCTGGTGAACCGCCACCCAAGCGACGCGAAACCAACAGCTCTGCCCCCTCGCTCGGGTCGTCCGCAGCCACCTCGCATTGTTTGTCCGCAGCGGAGAAACTTGGCCAAAAAAAACCTGGAAAAAGTGGAGAAAACTCACCATGTCATGGTGATTTCATATGATTTAATGGTGATTTTGCATGGTTTCATAGAGATTCCTATGCTAATGTTGGGGAAAATTGATACTTTGACTATCCGAAATTAGGTTGATGTTTAAAAAAAACTGGTGAACATGTAGAAATTTAACCATCCAAAGAAATAGATTCTTGGGGAAAATTGAGATAAATTGAAATTTGATACTAATACTATCTAATATTTATGGAAAAATGGAGAAAAATTGTCTTTCTTTGACTATCCAAAATTGGATGCATGGTTTCATTGAGTGGAGACAAATTACCAACTGAAACGTAAGGAACTAAGGTGGGGAGGTTCACCAATGAAAAATCGACCGGATTTTCGAGGATTGCCAACAGCTTGGAAGGTGAACAAGAAGCGCTTGCTGTTTGACGAAATGCCTGTGAAATCTCAATTGTTCGTGCTAATTTCATCAACCCCAAAATCCAAATTCATCAGAAAAATCATCACCTTTCCCATTTCCACCCATCAAAAATATATCAATGCCCATGTTTTGCCCAAAAAAACATGTGTTTTGCCCCAAAAAAACATGTGTTTTGCCCCAAAAAAACATGTGTTTTGCCCAAAAAAACACCATGGTGTTTGCCAAAAAAAAACCAACCGGCGCCGACTGTTTGTTGCTAACTCTTTGGAGCTCCGATTGTTCCGGCGCCTGAGGAGCGGAGTTGACTCGTCCGGCGGCCAAGAGCCAGACCTTCCATTCGCCTTCTCCGTAGAGATCTGGGCGCGGCAACGAGGGCGCGGACAGGGACGAGGCTAAGCCCCTGGGGATTTGATGTTTGGAGGGAAAATCTGAAACCGGAAAACCCGATTTCTTCGGGAACGACATGTTTTTCCGGTTGAGATGGTTCTTTAAACCAGAGAAATAAACTACCGGGCAATTTTTTGAGCTAGCAGCTAGTTACTTCTGGGCTAGTGAAAAGTTACTAAAGACCGTCATTGGAGTAACAGGGGAATGCAAAAATAGAACTATTGATAAACTAACGGGTGATAATTGCAAGCTATGAATAAGATCGATGATGCTAACAGGTTTTGATGTGTATATATTATATATATACATACATATACTGTATATGCTGTATATACTGTACATGTATAATATATATATATACATATACACATGTACTCTACTGTATATGGAGGTTTCCTAAGTCATGGTGGTACCCCCAAATCATCCATCTATTGATTGGGATTTTCCATGAAATAAACCATCCAGCGAGCTTGGGGATCCCCCATTTATGGAAACCTTCCAATATGACTAGGGCGGATAATGATGCTGAATCCTTTTAAAAAAAAAAAACGGTTGTTAATGGTCAGAAAAATGGTTGTGAAAGCTCTGAATTCTTCAGAATCGGGAAAAAAATCAGCATTAACCATGCTTAAGGTATCTTAAGATCAGGATTTTCCTTGGCCAGTGGAAAATCATTGGCTTCAGGATGGGATGATCATGACAGCCTGGCAATGCCATAAAATGATGATGGGATGGCCATTTCTGTTAATTTCAGATGGGGGTATTCCGCCTCGGAAACCTCCATGGATCACGGTGGTGTAATCAGAGAGTCATCCCAAAATAGATGGAATTTTTAAATCCCAAAGTAAATCCCTATGAAAATTTGATGATAGTGCCCAACGATCCGTTAAATTTGGTGGAGTTGCAGCTTGGGTGAAACGGAGATCATTGGGATATCTTGCTGAATGTGTGGCCAATGATAATAGCTTAATAACATTAGGATATCTTATCCAGTGATCATTGGGATCATTGCTAAATAATTTACGAACCTGAAAATAGCTGCAATGTGTGGCCAGCTATGGCGAAAAAAATCGACGCATTTCCACGAATCCAGCTGTTTATCATTCGACGTCGCATCACGAAGTCATGATAATTCATCCAGAGGATTTTTCCAGTTTTCTCAACCATTTTCAGAACTGGAATACATTAGTTGGGAGACCCTATAGCTAGGATGAAACACCCTATAGCTAAACTAACATGGATGTGGAGGAAAATGATAAAATTATCTACAAACGGTGGATTCTCCACATCTTCGTTTAGAGACCGGTATGTTTCCTTTGGGGGAACGCCAAAAAACAATTGCCGCAATTGTTGATAAGTAAAAAAATAGGAAAATCGTGTCTAAATCTGGATCAATCTCATGATAAATCACCAGAAAATGGATAAATAATGATAAATACATATAGATTATCCATTAGCCAACAATGATTATCCATTAACTATCCATTAGCCATACGGGATGATACACAAATGAATCATTATAAATGGATACCCTCTGGTTATGACTAACATAGCCATGGGAAATGGCCCATAGAAATAGATGGTTTACCTAGCTATAAAATTGTGATTTTCCATGGCTATGGCACAAATAACCAGATGGTAGATGACTGAGTGACTTATAAATTATAAATATCATGTAACTATCATATACATGTACTGACTTAGTGAGAAGATACCCTCTGTTAAATTAACATAGACCCTGGCAAATAGGGGTTGGAAGATTAGTTTCAACTAACAAATGGTGATTTTCAGGGTCTATGTTAATTTACCAGAGGGTAACTATCAATATCTGGATCAATTACATATAATTCACTCTGAAAAGTTTGACCACTGGGATTCTTTCCCCGAATCCAAAGATGTCCATCTGACGGAAAGCGATGTGAGGATCACATTCATTGAGATAGAGCATTTGTAAATATATATATATATACAATATGGAGGTTTCCTGAAATGAGGGTACCCCTAAATCATCTATGTTCAAGGGATTTTCCATTAGGAACCATCCATTTTGGGTACCCCCATCTGTGGAAACACCCATATATATATACACATACATTTTATCATATCATATCATATCATATCATATCATATCATATATATAAGAAAAGACAATATAATATAATATATAATATAATATCATATCATATCATATCATATATATAATTCAATATAGTATCATGTAATATAATATATTATAATATAATATAATAATATGATATAATACAATACAATACAATATATAATATATAATATAAGATACTATAATATAGTATAATACAATACAATACAATATATAATATATAATAAAAGATACTATAATATAATATAATATGATATAATATATAATATATAATATATAATATATAATATATAATACCTAACATATAATATATATAATATCTAATATATAATATCTAATGTATATTTTATAATAAGATATAATTTAATATATTATTTAATATAATATAATATAATATAATATGATAATATATATAATATGATAATATATATAATATATAATATAATATATATAATATAATGTAATAATATAATATAATGTAATATAATATAATATAGTATAGTAATATAATATAATGCAATATAATAAACATATATTATATATATTATTGTATTATATTAACTACACATTATATTACATATATATTATTATCATGATTATTCTTACTATATATATATATCACTATTATATATATATATATATTATTATTGTATATATGTATATTATCATTATTAATACATATATATATTATTATCTTTATTATTAATAATTATTCAATATTACTCTATATATATACTGTCAAATGTCCCCATTTGATCACCATAAGCTAAGTCTTGAATCTGCTTCATCATTACTGTTTGATGGAAATGATTGTATAAATTGTATAATGATGTATAATGCAGAATATATAAAACATGTTGAAACCACCAAGCAGTCTTCTTACTCATCTTGAAGTGATACAAGCTCGCCACCAAAGAACGTTCACTGGGGTAGCTCAGGAAGTGCACCGAGGGCGGGTTCCTAAGGTGCCAGGTTTCACCCTTCGCTGAAGACATGGGGCATCTGAACCAAGCCACAGAACATAAAACGATCCATTTTTGATGGTCGTTGAAGAGACCACTGTTTTGTGTCGTTGATTTCTAACATATGCATGGAAAAAATCCTGTAGCCAGTTAGGTTACTGGGGTGAAACCAACCCAAATCGGGGGCCTGAAAGAGAGTGGCTGGGGTCATTGGGATATTCAGATCATCCCATTTTAACAGCTTTGAACATGCAAAATACCCTCCGGAATAATGGGATATCATGGGATATCATGGAATAATGGGATATGACGGTGTTTTTTACCCTCTGGTTATGACTAACAGTTCGCCATGGTATAGATGACCCATAGAAATAGATGGTTTACCTATTAATAGCATGGTGATGTTCCATGGCTATGGTACAAATAAGCAGATGGTAGGTAGTTCATAAGTTACAACTGACTAATCATGGATCATTTCCCCCAGCCCCGTTCTATGTGAGGGGCCTTGAGGGGCCCTTCACAAAAAGCTAAGCTGATAACTCAACATGACTAGTTGTTCACTGGAGCTAAAATCATCATAGATATTATCACATAGATTATTATAGATGTATATACAGTAGATGTTATCATATAGATATAATTATCATAGATATGATCTACACAATCTACAGTTGGATGAATTCTGAAGCAACAGTGGGACATCGTTGGGGACACATTTCCAAAGTCGGTCGGCTTTTTGGGTCAAGCCAATCGTTCGTCCAGCCATGACTTACTCATATCCTTACTGATCTATATAATTTAATATCTCATCTAATATATCACCTAATATATCATCTATATAATAGATCATCTAATATCAATGATCATCTAGCAATGATAGTCATCTTTTGGTGGCTGCACTCGTGAAACACTGTTGGTCACCCCTGTGGCGGGTTGAATCCCAGTCATTTAGCGTCACCAATTCACCAACCAGGGTGTCTGAAATATGGCTCTATGTAGTAAGCGTCCAACTTCTGATATTATGGCATTATGGCTGGTAACTATAGTTAGTAATTATAACTTATACGTATAACTGATACTGTGGTTGGTAACTATACTTAGTATAACTTATAAAACTATATAAATGTGTTGTAACATGACTCACTTGACCGACCGCCCTGGCCGTCTCCGCAGCACAAAGCCAGCATCTTTCGCACAGTGTTCTCCTTCGCGACGGCATCGGGCGTAGAGACCTGGCGCTACCGCGGTTGGGCCATTTCTGGGCCAAATAGGCGAACAGCAAAATGGATAAAATGGCCAGAAATGGCATATATGGAGTATCAGATATAGTGACCAACTTTCAAAATGTTGAAATGGCATGTTTTTTTAAGGCCAGATATGTTGAAGATGGTTTTGTATCGGATGTTTGATGACATGCGATATGTCACGAATCAACCATAGAAAGGGCTGAATGAATAGCCAATCACTGGAGATATTCAGTACGGGGATGGTTCACCAGATGCAAAAAAACTCACTTTCACAACTGAGCAATCTTCCGCGAGTGCCAAAAAAACATGAACCCATTTTCGTCATTCACCATGGACCCGAAAGCTGATCAGACTGATTCAGCATGTCTCGTGGCTTTTTTTTGATTCCACTGACCTCACTTCAAAATTCCTTCCGGACCTCCTCTGGTTACCCAGCACCACAAATGAACATGTCAGGAACCATTCAGGGAATCTGTCACGGTGGTATTCAGAAACTGGCGAGTGGTATTGAGAAACTGGGAGCGGTATTCGGAAACTGGAAAGTTGTATTCGGAAACTGGCGAGTTGTATTCGGAAACTGGCATTCGGAAACTGGAACCCTGGTATTCGGCAACTAGGACCTAGGAGGAGAAAACATGCAATATATTGGCCAGAGAAGGTGGCGAATTTGATCTCTTATGAAGATAGGTTGAAGCGAATATCCCTGTCAATATATTGCTTAGAGGTGGTGGCAATTTTGATCCCTTCTTACAATAAGCTCAAGTTACGGTGCCCATCAAATCCCATCAATGTATATCTCGGAGGGGGTGGCAGTTTTGATCCCTCATGAAGATAAGTTCAATCCTATTCAATATATTGGCCAGATATATTGTCCAGAGGGGGTGGCGGATTTGATCCCTTCTTACAATAAGACGGAGTGTCAGTTTTGATCCCTCATGAAGACCAGTTGAAGTTAAAATCCCATTCAATATATTGTCCGGAGGGGTGGCAGTTTGGATCCCTCATGGAGATAAGTCGAAGAATTCAAATCTCATTGAGCTTGGACATTGCGGAAGATCCACCCAGTTTCGCAAGTTTGACATGTTTGAGTTTTGTCCGTTCCCCAAGTGGCCCAAGTGTACATTAAGTTGCAGTGAATCCACCGTTCAAGAACTGTTGCACCTCGTTCGACGACATATCTGTCCCCCTACAAGCAACCCGGCCATGGTGCACCTCCAAGAATTCATGGACGGCGTCGCTCAAGGCTGCGGCGCCTGGTGGCTGTAGGTGATGCCCTTGGGCGCAATGGATACCCTCTGGTTATGACTGACATAGCCATGGAAAATGGTCCTTTTATAGATGGTTTACCTATTAAAAATGGTGATTTTCTATGGCTATGGCACAAATAACCAGATGGTAGATGACTGAGTGACTTACAAATTATAAATATCATGTAACTATCAATATCATGTAACTATTATATACATGCACTGACTTAGTGAGAAGATAACTATCAATATCTGGATCAATTGCAACGACTTCACTGCGACCCTCACATTTTGCTACTTCCAGCCGCCCTTAAAAAGACCCGTATTGCTGCCTTCTTCGCCTCCATCTGGGTTTCTCTGAAAATCGTGTGCCCCATTTTTCCCAATGGTTCGTCATTTTGACTATTCATGGCTATAACTGGAGGTATACCCCATTTTCAGACAGCCATTTCGGTGAACACCCAACACCCTGTGAGATCGTTGCACCTGTGAGATCGTTGCTCTGAATTTTCCAGGAGAATCTCTCCCGCACCATCTCCAGGGCACGTTTGAGCCTCAGGATCATGTGTTGTTATCCCCAAAGATTCTGGCGACTTAGTGGTGATTTGATGGTGATTTGATGGTGATTTGATGGTGGTTTATATACCGGGTTTTTTTAATGGTATTTAGTGATGATTTGGTGGGATTTTTCATGGTGATTTACAGTAGGGTAAACTAAGATAGATTTCGAAAACCATGGAGAAACCCGTTCGGAAAATTATCAACCAATGGTGGGTTTCCGCACCTTTTTGTATGTTCACCGGATGGTATTTTTTGGGGGTTTTGACTATTCACAAACTTTGCAACATGAAAACATGTGGAACTATTCATTCACAAACTCATGGTTTTGGGGGACCTAAGAAATGGATTGTTTTAAAACTCCGGGGGTATGTAATCCACTCCATGTTGACCATGTATATATATATATATATGTGTTTATATATGTATATATTTATATGTATATATATATATATATATGAGTGTATTTATATATATATAATATGTATTTATATATATATAATATGTATTTATATATATATATATTATGTACATGTACGCAACAATCCTATATTCGTATCAGGGGATACGCAACCCTCTTCAGCAATCCTTTTTCCAAAAAATACAGCATGTCAAGTGACCCAAGGGGCCGCTTTCGTAAATATAGGCGGGTTTCCTAAAAATGAAGGTACCCCAAAATGGATGGTTTTATACCGCAAAATACTCTTAAATTGATGATTTGGAGTGCCCCTTTTTTATGAAATATTTGCCGCTAAATCTACCAAGAAAACTTTCGTCTCCAGGGCCATGGATTAGTCGTCACCCATTTTTCCAAATCAAAGAATCGCCACTTTGAGGGAGCTAATATTCACCATGAAATGGAAAGAAATGGACCACTTTTGGACATTTACCGTACTGAAAATCTGTTTGATCTGTCTCTTCAACAAGTTCTCCCATGTCCCGAAAAAAATTCACCAAGCGTCACAGGGTTCTGTGGTGCCGAGGCAAGAAAATAGTTGGCAAATCTCGGATCCCGATGCGGAGCAGGAAGAGATGGAGAATCCAGAGCTTCCCCCGCTTCTACAAATGATACCCCCCCGGTAAACGGGTAAACGTTAACAAAAAAACATATTGATGGTTGATTAAAAAAAGCACCATTTTTGATGGCTAAATCCACTATTTCGACAGGGCCATGGCTTCAATAGCGATGTAAACGTTTACCAGAGGGTAGATCTACCCTACTTTCGGACCTCAAATGAAATAGTTGATCTGAAAAATATCATGATAGTTGATATATGTTGATATGATATGTGATAGTTCTTATAATCAAAATTAACATTCTTGAATAGGGTTGATGTTACACTTGATATTGTATGCTTGGGACTAGTCAATTATATCCGCAAGATTTATTGATATATATCCGCAAGATTATTGATATGATCTGTCCTGATAGATATATTGATAACTATTGAATATCATGTCATATCCAGGTTGGGTGTTTATATTATGAACAGATAATTGGTATGATAGTCCCCAAGGCAATAAGAAAATAATTAAGATACTAAAGCGGTTCTCACAATGTTATCAAGCATCATGGATTCTGATAATTCTCAACTGAGACAAGAAAAACATAGCAGACATGTCACGAACTCTTAGAATAAAATAGTGTAAAAACATGTTATGTTGTTTTTTTCAATAAAAAATTAGTGCGATTGACATAACAATATATATATATACATATATAACAATGTCAATATGTAATCATAATTCTAATCATTACATGTTCCATTGAATCACCATTTTGCCGGTTTTCCCCATTTTCAGACATCCCTGTCTATCATACTGTGGGCTATGTACAGTATATTACAGTATCTCATTAAATCCAATATCATATCTCGTAAAAATATCTCATCATCCCCTAAAGTATCCCATAAAATATCCCATAAAATATCCATGGAATGGTTGATTTAAAAACAAAAAAAACATCTTCAGACATAAGTCCCGGAGGTTTGTTGGCCAAGTATCAAGGGGCCACAAAAAAAAAAAAACTGAATCCCCGTAGTTTTTCCAAGCCATAGGACCCGCCCCCCTTGGACCCGCCCCAGGTTTCATAGTGGATCAAAACTCATGGCGACATGGGAGTATTCAATATCAAATGGGAATGGGTCAAAACCATGTAGCCCTGGTGAACATCAAAATAGCTGGTAAATGGATGTTCATCCCATTAAAAATGGTATTAATAGGTATTGATCCATACCCAAATGAATAATCCAATAGACAAATCCTGAGGAAACCCCCACAATATACCTAATATTAATACCTAATATTAGTTGATATTCTCTCAAAAACTACTAAGACTAATTCTAATCATATATATATATGTTAACTCAACATTTTGATGGCTAGTCTCTTCCCTCAACCCACATCAAAATTGCTAGGAAAATTCTAACCTCCCCCAAAAAATCTGACGCCAGATCTGAGGTGCTGCTCCGTTCTGGCAAAATTCACCTGGCACCAGGAATTTTCGTCATGAATTTGGGGATGGGTCAAAACCCTGGTACCTAGTGAACCCCAAAATAGCTGGTAAATGGATGTTCATCCCACTAAAAATGGTATTAATAGGGATTGATTCATAGCCATTTCATGGATTTCGAAGAGAAAATGGGGGGCCAGCTTTTCTGGATGACAAGATATGACAAGCCAATGCCATAAACATAAAATAAACCATCCCCAAGTCATCACCGATGACTATTATGACTATATGCGAGATGCCCAACCATCCCATAAAATGCTAGTTCTTACATTCGATATTTTTGCACACATGGGTATGGATCAATACCTATTAATACCATTTTTAGGGGGATGAACATCCATAAATCCCAGCTATTTTGATGTGAACTACAGGGGTACAAGGTTTTGACACACTGCCACATGAGTCTGTTGGAAAAAAGGGGGATGTGAAATCTCAATTTGTCCTAGAGATTCATCCCTCGTGACTCCTTGGAGGTTTCACCAGACTCACCAGGCCCCTGTAAAATCCATGGTATCCTACAATGTGAAGCCCCCGGTCGATAGCTAAGTTGGGGTTCACATAACTCCAATAACTATGGTTTACGGTACTTATAACGAACTAGTTGGGGCGAATCTAAACCAACTAACATCGCTCGGGGGCCCCACTAATTGTACCCTCTGGTCCATGAACATCCACCATCGATGATGTTACCAGAAACCTCCATTTGTAGAAGATCTTCCAGCGGCCCGCCATTTAGTAACCCGTGATTTTACCAGCAGCCATGACCACGGGTCATCTTCTAAATGCAAAATGCCATCATGATGCAGTGAGTTTCTTCGCAAGATGTGAAAAGCGGATGTTCATTTTTTTAAGAAAGCTCAGAAAATGATGTTCCATGCAGTCTGAAACAACAATACGGTATGTTCAAAAATGTCATTAGAAACATATTGCAAAGACCTATGGCTAGATCTTAGTTATCAACCATTGAACCATGGGATTTTGGTTATCAACCATCCAAAAAAGATTCCATCCGTGATAGGGTCAGATGTCCACAGATTCCATCTCCGATTCGGACACCAACTACCCGGCCTGGTAAACATACAAAAAGCTCTTGAAAATGGCCATAGAAATACTTGATTTACCCATTAAACATGGTGATGTTCCATAGTTATTATGGAAAATCGCCATGTTTAATGGGAAAACTCACTATTTCTATGGCCATTTTCAATAGCTATTTTGACATAACCAGAGGGTAAACCTCCATTGATTATGTTAGTTTACCATCGGGTAATGCTCGAAACAATTTCTGGGCAAAGCCTCATTGATCCGGAAAAATCATGGGCCAGTCTTAGAATCGCCGATCTGGCGGTGTACAAAAAGATGTAAAAAAAATAGAAAAACAATTTTTATACTGGTTTTACACTGGTTGATCACTGGTTTTTCCATCATTTTGTACACCTTTATTCCATGAACTGTGGAAAAAAGTTAAAAAAATGTTCTGATCATTTTCCAAAATCAAGGGTTTTTCCATCATGTTTCCACATTTTTTCACTGGTTGATAGCCCCCTGATAGGGTTTTTGTCGCCAGCCGTGGGTTATCCCATGACATGCCCGATTTCTCAACCTCGAGGCGTTGTACTTCACTCCAACGGTGTCCAAACTCATATCCCACCAGCCTCGGTGATCCAAATGACGTTTAACGACCCTAAAATAGGAGGCTTCGCATAGGGTATCTATGTGTATATTGTGTATATATATACATATATATATATCAATGTATATGTATGTATTTATCTATGCATTTGTCTATTTATTTGTCCATTTATTAATTGATTTGTTTATTTATATTTATATGATCCAAACATGTTTTGGGAATGGGAAAAATGATCCACAAAGATGTTCTTCGGAATTTCAGGACCCTAACATAGAGCTACTGTACCATATTTTTAGCCATAGAAATTGGGGGTATCTGCCGTTAGGCCTTCGGTTTGATACCTTCATTTTACGCACCTGAAATGCCTATTGATTTCTAGTTGTAATGGGGATATTAAAAGGATATGAATGGGAGAAAAATGGAATATCAAAAATGAATATACATGGTAGGGGATATCATGGGATCTATCTATCTATCTATCTATCTATCTATCTATCTATATATATATATATATATTGAACTTCTATGTCCATGGAATTTGTCTTCCAATACTGGCTTTTCTCATGGAGTTGTTTGGATCTCTGATGGGCCGGAAAATCGAGTTTGGCGAGGAGATAACTAGGCCCTACTTCTACTAGGCTTTATAAGGGAAAAGAATAAGTAACAAATCAAGTATGATAAGGTCATTATCATCCTGTACTGCTTGGTGGTTGAGCCACCCCTCTGAAAATATGCGAAAGTCAGTTGGGATTTTCTGACATTCCCAATATGTTAGGAAAGTCATAGTCCACATGGTCCAAACCACCGACCAACTATTAGTTGACTATCATGAATATAACCACATATAATGAATTAACTATGAGTTGACCTATGTATTAATGATCACTATTTATAGTACTATTTTAGGTTACTATAACATATTAACATATTATAACTGGTGCCATGGGCCTTCCAAACATGGGCCCATGGCTCTGGCCTCACCTTGAAGGAAACAACTGACCCACTCTGCGTCTGGTGTACAAAGGGGTTGAAAATAAGGGAATGGTCAGAATGGTTACCCTCTGGTTATGTCAAAATAGCTATTGAAAATGGCCATAGAAATAGTGGATTTACCCAGCTAGAAAATAGCTATGTTAGTTTACCAGAGGGTAATATGGAAATATATGGGTGATACCCTGCAAAAACAAGTCGTTATACGTTTCAGATCGTTTCAGCTACAGGTTGCACAGCTTTAAAAAAAAAAGTTGACACCTGTGCCGCACTCATGAATTTCACCGACCGGAAAGTTGAAGCTGTTCACCCCCCAAATATGCTACCCCCTCGAACAAAATCAATTGGCTAACTGGAAACATCACCATATTCTCCAGAATCATGTTTTTTGTTATCATCAATTTAGCTGGAGCATTGTCATCCATTGTCATCCATTGAACCCATAGCACACTCTGAAATCACCGGTGTATAACCGGTAAATTATCCCATTGTATCAACCACTATTTCTATGGTGGCTCCCAAATCGATCAAAATCCTCGTTAGCTTGGCGTTATAAAACTTTGGAAAAAATGGTCGTGGAACATGGGTAGAATCATCGGAAAATATTGGGTATACATCAGTTCAATAGGTTAAAACAAATGGCAGTGTGGTTTCCATTCACAAGTAATTTGGGTCTAAAGCCGGAAAAGTGTCATTTTCATTACTGCTTGGTCAATGGTGATTCACATACAGTAATGGATCATGATACATCATCGCCACTATATGGGCTTTTGTTTCACCATGTTTCACCCATGATCATCAGCTGGGGTGAAAACTGGATGCAATTGTTTTGGCGGGGAAAATTCACAGGAAACCCCCATCGTTCCATTTTACAAAAAAAAAAACTGTGTTTCCGGTTTTCAGATTTTCATGTTCCCACTCTATGGATCTCCATCACTTTCCATTCTGGGCGTTCCTTCACGGAGTGGCACTGGCAATTCAAAATCCACTATCAATGGAGACAATCTATGGGACAGTCGGACAATCAACTATTATTTTGGGAGATTTTCCAGCCATGTTTGACCTAGAAAATGTATTTCAATCTAGACTAATATGGGATTGTCCAGCGATGTTGGACCAGAGAGTAACTCAGTATCCGATCAGCTTTTTAAAAAAAAAAAATATTGTCTTCTCATCTTGGCTGGACATATCTACCCCAATTTCTGAGTGCTTGTCATTATTTGTTTTCTTTGGTTCGTTGGTTCGTTGGTTGGTTGGTTAGTTGGTTGGTTAGTTAGTTGGTTAGTTGGTTGGTTGGTTGGTTAGTTTGTTAGTTGGTTATCTATCTATCTACCTATCTATTTATCTATGTATTTATTTATACATACATAGTGTGTTGGATATGTGTGTATATACTGTATAATTTATAAATGTATACATCCCATTAAGAATCCCGTAAAATGTATCCGTCAACTATCCCCTTAGAACTATAAATATACCCCATCATTCCAAGCTCCAGTTTGATTGCACAAATCCCCATCATAGTTTTGCTTGTGGCAACCTGTATGAAAAAGGGGCGCGCTGCCATCAGATTTGATCTCCCATATACTGTGACTGATAAGTAGAAAACCATCAATGGGTGTGATCCCATTTCTAGAGAGTTTGTCAAACATTCGAAACTGCCAAGCAGATGATTGGCTATAAAGCCACGGCATCTCCCCTATCTCCTGTGGATGAGCCAGTATTAAAACCTGCACAAAAAAAAACTTGGATGGTAGCCATCAACCCCAAAATCATGGGATAAAAATGGTTGTTCAAACCCAAAATCATGGGATGTTTACTTCCCACCGTTGAAAAACATGTTTTTTTTTGTCGGATATCCAGTTCTCCACAGGGTCCACATAAACCATGTCCCGGCCGGTGAAATCCCACGGAGTCCACGATGCCAGGTGACATCTGGGCATCATGAGGGACCTGGTGCTTTGCTGATCGAAGCACAAACAATCTTGGACGGATCTTATTTATCTATCTATCTATCTATCTATTTATCTATCTATTCGTTCATTTTATTTCATTTTATTTTATCTTATCTTATTCTAGTTTATCTATGTATTTATTGATCTATTTGTGTATATATATATGTGTGTGTGTGCTCGTATGTAATGTCATATCATGTCATATCATGTCATATCACGTAATGTTATGTTGTGCTATGTTATGTATGTATTTTTACATATTTTCTGTGTATGTATATATAGTAATCCCGTAGTTGATCGAATATGGAAACTGTAAAAAAGAAAAAAAACAATCGTCTAAGAATGATTGTAGACATATCTCTATGGAACAAAACCCTAGTACCGCAGTGAATATAAAAATAGCTGGCATAGCTGGATGTACATAGGTTAGTTATGACCCACCATGATATATCCAACAACAAAATGGGAGTTAAACCCCATTTTGAGCTGTGGATCAAAAATTTCAGACAAACCCGTGGTTTCAACCCGTCTGAAAAATATGCTTGTCAGTTGGGGTTATGAACTTCCCAATATATGGAAAGTCATAATCCAGCCATGTTCCAAACCACCAAGCAGTAACTAAATGTGTTTTTCAAAAAAAAATGATGGGTTTTCTTATGGAGGCAAACCCTCCATAGATGGGGCAACAAAAACTTTATGGATCGTTGATGGTGGCATTATTTTAATGGGGAGATGATGAAAAAATAGCTTCATGGTGCCCTCAAGGGAGAGCCTATCCAATCGAGCTTTAGTTCGGGGATTTTCCATAGCTATGTAGCAAATTGCCGGAGGGTACATCCCATTACCCATTCAATCACCATTAAACCGTAGTATCAACCACTATGATATCTCTATTATATCGAATAAAACAACTCCATTCTCTGCTGGTAAAACCTACTCAACTTACCACTCGCACCAGGCTCACTCTCGCCTGATAATCTGCGATGGGTTTCTCACAAGAGACTGTAAGCCTCGTTTGGACAAACGAGGGACCGTTCACGGAGTTGTTTGAAAGGAACACCAGATAAAACCAGGTAGAATCACCATGGTCCATGGTTATTTAAGTTGCTGGTTATAACTGAAACCATGGTGTTGCAATGACTTATGTGTTTGCTTAAAGGTTTCCCCTGAAATCCATTGTGGTTGCCGTGCTGTGGATGCTGTGGGTTTTCCACTATCTCAGGAGAAACTCCATGACATCGTGGTGTTTAAGCAACGCCATTAACAACTAGCAACTGGAGGTACAAACAACTCGGAGCCACTGACTGCTCCCAAAAATGGGCGTCAAAGCAGTCGGAACTGGGAACTGACCAAGACATGATACTGGCAAGTAGTTACAACCGTTACAACCCACCAGTTCTATTTTGATTTCCAATGCCATTCTATTCATAGTCCTTGGGCAACTTTGAAATCTTTGCACCGAACCATATCGACATTCGGCAAATGTCCTTTTTTTTGGGCCCAAAGGATTCGGAGACGGAAACAGAAACAGATGTTTTTCTCTCCCGATTTATGGCAATCTTCATGGAAAATCTGATTGGTGGTTTACCGTAAGAGATGGGTTTTTGTGTTACAATATTTTGCAAGAACACTACGATGTCAAAGCTCTTTCAAGGTTCTTCGTTTTTCCTGGTTGGTGTTTCAACCTGAAAAATGTGCTCAAAAAAAATGGGGATGAAAAAAAAACATTAGTCTATCCCTGAAACCACCAGATGGTTATAAGATGTTATAAACTCATATTCCCTCTGGTTATTTAACAGTTTGCCATGGAAAATCAGCATTTTTAAGAACGGTAAACCATCTATTTCTATGGGCCATCGAAAAACCATGGCTATGTTAGTTAGTCATAACCAGAGGGTAACATGTTTAAACACCCAGTTCTATATTTTTCCCAAGATCTCCCCATGAAAAATAGACGTTGCCGTTTTTCCGAACAGTTCTGCCGAAAAGGGGCTCTGCAAAGTAGCCTCCCTGGTCGTACAAAACCAGGTAGCGGAAGATGTCTGCACCTCGAAGCACCAAGGAAAAAAACAGCAAATGAAATCTTGGAGATCCGCTCTGAAAATTGTTCCTGGCTGGTGGTATTTAATGATTTTAATGGGATTTTAATGGGATTTTAATCGGATTTTAATCGGATTTTAATGGGATTTCCATGGTTAATACTGGTTAATGATGGTTAATAATGGTTAATAATGTGCTAATAATTCCTATATGTATGGGTTAATAATGGTTAATGATGGTTTGGTTTAGCTAATAATGGTTAATAATCTGGTTGGTGGTTGAGCCTACCCCTCTGAAAAATATGCGAACGTCAGTTGGGATGATGATTATTCCCAAACCACCAACCAGCTTGGCGTTGTTGAAATTCTTGGAGCCATTGGAAAACAAAGGGATATGAAACCAACAAAAAATGGTTGAGTTGTTTTTGCTGACGGACTTTTTACCGTCCAGCAAAACGCATAGATTTTGATGGGGTGGGGTGGGGTGGGGTGGGGATGTTAACGTTCATTGGCACTTGCCCACATACGTGATGCTACGCCACTGCACGTTCTTCTGCAACTTCCACACATACGTGATGCTACGCCACTGCACGTTCTTCTGCAACTTCCACACACATACGTGATGCTACGCCACTGCACGTTCTTCTGCAACTTCCACACATACGTGATGCTACGCAACTGTCTTGATTCGACTTCGGGCCTCTTGAAGAAGAAAAAACGCTGAGAGGGTTGTCGATGGAAAAGTTAAACCCTCAAGTTCGGAGACCCCTTTTTTTCAGTCAAAATTAACGTTTCGCTATGGCGAAACGATAATTTAGTAAAAAATATGCAGACGGTGAAAATTCCGCCGGGTTGTTTTTGCCCCAGAAATTCCCATCAGGCTGAAAAAAGAGTGAACGATGAGACGTCCCTGTCGAAAATTTGGGACCAAAATTTCAGGATTCGAGTAACACAAAATCGAGGATTCACAGTCAATTCAGAAAGGAGAATGATCATCTAAAATTTTGGTGATGTCTAGAAACTATAGTTCTTAATCAAATCGCCATATTTTGATGCAAGTACCATCTGGCTATTTGTGCCATAGCCATGGAAATCACCATTTTTAATAGATAAACATGGTAAACCATCTATTTCTATGGGCCATGTTCCATGGCTATGTTAAATAACCAGAGGGTAAATGAAAATATTGTATTTTACTCTCCAAAATTCTTCGGACTCAGGTTTGCCCAAAATTGGGGATTTCTCACCACTAAAAGGAGCACTACGTAGCTCTACATCTCCATCGTCTCCATGTCTTATGGTAGCTGGGCTATGTGCCTTGATTTGTTTCTAGTGTTGAAGGTAAAATCATAGTAGTATAGTAGTATAGTATATCCAATAGTAGTATACCATTCCCAATGGGGGAAACTCCCAATCAGTTTCCCCCATTGGGATTTGTTTAAAAGAAAAGGCCCCAAGGGCCCATCTGCGCCCTGTTTAGCATGCAAAAGCCAGATCCCTGGCTTCGTGGTTCTGGAAAAGCACCGATTTTGAAAATTGACGGTTTTTGCTCAAAGGAAACAGCAAGAAACAACAAGTGAACAAAATGCATGGAACTCCTGTTTTTGTTGGTATCTCGAAATCGTGGAAACACCCATGAGCTAATTCCAAAAGCTCTTCAAAACAGTTACAGCACCACCATTCACGACCAGATTTCTCCGTCCCAACAAACAGGGTGATTTCTCCCACCCCAACGACGGCACGTTCAGCCGGAGACAGGGCGGACCAAATCGGTGCAATGGAGTCCTGGGTTGTGAACTGTCACGAAGGACTGGGAGGTGATTTGTTGATCGAAAACTTCGTGAAACACTTGGAAATCGTAGGCGGAAAAGTGGGATAAAATGGGATATGAATGGAATAATATGAGTGGAATATGAATGGGATACTATAAATCATTCACAAATGCGATTCATAATTATCGTCATGATTCATAAATTGGTAGATGATGATTGGTAAATTATGCTTCATGAATAATCGGTAGATGATGATTGGTAAATACATGTAAATGTTGAATGATGATTGACCACAAAAGTTGAAAAGCAAAAATCATGATTGGTAAATGTAAATAGTGTTAAATAATGAATGATGGGTAAATACGATGATTGGTAGCTGTGTTTTTCAGCACTCGGCACTTAGGAATCAATCAACACCCCCAAAGTTCACCAAAACTGGACGGTTGTGGCCACAGTTGGGTGTGGTTTCCTTGAAAATTGAATCTTTAAGCCTTTATCATGTCACATCCTTGAAAATAGATCTAAAAAATGGCTGTGGCCGCTATTAGATGGTCATGTCTTTGATGTGAAATCTAAGGTTGGGACGACCCCGGGAGAAAAAAACCACGGATGGTCGCGATGGTCGCCATTGGGAAGCCCTATTCCCAATTTGGCAAAGTCACTCCATGCATAAATGGAAACCTGAATCCCTTATTCTTTGATGTGTAAAAACATGTGTCAAAATACTATATGAATGGATATAGATTGGATATCTTCTAGTTTTTTTTCCAAGGCAAAGCTATAACCACAAGGCTTTGATCATCTCGATTCTGCATCTAAGTCAACTTGGGTTGGTTGTAGCCCAACTGGCCCCACTGCCAAACCAAAGAATGATATTTAACCCCTCACAAATTGCGGAAAAAGAAGAAAAAGCAGAAACACCTAACTACTCTCAAGATCTGGCTTGGTTCAATCATCATTTTCAACTGGTGAAATCATCATTTTAACGATGGATCAATCGCCACCGGCCTTGATGGTTGGCCCCTGGCTCAACAAAACACAAAAAGCCGTGGCTCTTTCGCTTTGGACATGACCAGCACATCGATGTCGGCGTCTTCTGAGCCCACGGAAAACAGTCAGCATGATGCAGCATATGTCAAGTTACTCGCCTGGCATATAAAAAAAAAACATGATCGAAACACCAATGGTGATGCAGGGATACTGGAAAAAAAAACATATGGCAGTGAGTCAAAACCTTGTACCCCTTCTGTTCACATCAAAATAGCTGGGTTAAAATGGATGTTCATCCCACATACCAAATGGTATTTTCATAGGTATTGATCCATAGCCATATGATCTTCATGGAAGTTTCCATGGGAAATTTCCATGTCGTCGCCAAGCAGCTCCAAAGCCGATGCTCGCATCCTGGGTTCCTCGGCTGAAATGGCATGATTAAGGGCGAAAACATGATTTCAGTGGCATGAAAAGCCGCTTGAACCACTAAAAATGTGGTTTTGACCAGTGAAATTCACCAATTTTCATGGGAAAAATGATGGTGAACCAGTGTACATTGTGGTTATTGTGGATATAATGGGATATTCTATGATATCTTTGCGGAGTGCAAGGGTAGCAAATTGGGCTCAGAGTAAAAGGGGCAAAAGCAGCTATTTTCGCTAGAGCAGCGCTTGAGTCAAGCTGCGGTGAAAAGCGGCTAAAATGCAAAAAGTGAAAATGCAAACTGCCGCACACCAAGCTTACACCTACCAACACATGGTTTTCACATTGCAAGGAAAGTGTGTTGGTGTGCTGGCAGATTAATTAACCGGCGCAGCCGGTGCGGGGGCGCAGCCTTTCTTCATTTTGGCCTTTCGGCGCTGCCTTTGGCCCTGACGCAGCTTGCGTCGATGGTCCTCCAGTGCCTTCTCCTCCGGCGTTTCACGCAGGGAGATGCGTGGCACTTGACAGAAACTCTGCCACAGGAGGCAGACCATCTTTTTGGTCAGGCAGTCTGCAAACTGCCTATGCGTAGGTACCCAGAAAAGCTCATAGGCACCACTCTCCAAATGATGTCGCGACACCATCAAATCGAGCATTGTTTGCCGCTCTGTCGGCAATTGGCCCGTCGTGGAGAGGTGGTCGTACAAACTCTTGGCGTCCGTCACAACGCCACCGTCCAGGCCCATCGATGTACGCCAGTTGGCATCCAGGGGTCGATTTCCAAAAAGGAGTCGGTCAATGACCAGACGCCCATATAGGTGTCGGTCAACACATCCACTCATAGAGCAGCTTTCCGCTGACATAGAGCTGCGTAGCACCCGACCACTTTTGTTCGTTGAGAACTCGATCACTGAAGCTGGCGCTGGCCCTTTTCGAGCTTGCTCTGTTGTAAGAAAGTGGACGGCTCCAAGCTGTGATTTGCCGTCCTGTTCTTTCCCAACCGAAGCATCGAAGTAGCTGACGTAGAAGAGCTTGTCCTTCTCGTTGAGCTTGGGGTATAAAAGTCGGGCGCGGCCCTTTTCAACTTCATCCAAAAACTGACCGTGAAGTTTAACCGCTTCACGATAGTCAGCATACGTAGCTTTGTTGACCCTTTGTGCGAGGTTGGACACCTGGTACAGGAGATGTGGTAACACCTGTTGTGCCGGCCAGCGCAAACGCATGACCAATTGGCGGTACAATGTCACCTCGCGTGGTCCCAGCTCTCCACTTCCTTGCAAAGGTTCGATTCGAATCTGTTTGATGTACTGGGACATGTCGTCACAGATGCCGCGGGCATCTTGGGTCACATCCACACCCAAAAATTGGAGTGGGGTGTCCGCAGACAATTCCTTCCAGGCTTTTATGGTGAACATACCATTGATTTGTTCTTTGAGTCGTTGGACCCTGCGGTCGTTCAAGTCACCCAATAAAAGCCCGTCATCAACATGGAGACAAAGTATGGCGTAGCTACGCCCATCTTGGCCGCTGGCCACAAAGCAGGATTTGCAGATCTCAAGCTCCTGGAGGTCTGTTTTCTTCATACGATCAAGGGCCTCCAGGTACCACAATCGTGGGCTTTCTGTCAATCCGTACGCGGACTTGAGGATCTGCAAAAGCTCACCTGGTTGAATTGGTGGCCACTTCTCCACAGAGGGTAATCCCTCACGAGGTGCCCTGATGTAGACCTTCCTCTGTAGATTCTTGCCACTCAAAAATGCGGTAGTGACATCAAATGTTGTGCCACCCCAATTCCGTGCGGATGCAACCGCTTTTGCTGCCCGAACTGTAGCCTGCGGGCACGTAGGGCTATCAGTCCTGAACTCGCCGAGTTGTGGGTCCAGGTGTCCTGGGACGATCAACCTGGATTTGGCGACCAACGGCAGCAGCCGGTTTGATTGCTTGTTTGTGCAAAGCATCCGCAGTGGTGCACGGAATATGTTGGCTCGCGGGATCTTCTCTGCCTCCTCCGGTGTCACGCGCTGCACAACACCATTCTTAATCCATTCCGACCACTCCTTCTTGTCAGAGATGTCAAAGGCAGCCTGCTCCTTCTCATCGAAAAAGGTGGGATCCAACTCTTTCCCACATTTCTTGAGTTTGAGGATCAAGGCCTCCGATGTGAGCAGGTCTTTGATCTCCTCAGTCCACAAGGATTCAAACTCCTGGGCTTCATGCGGCTTGAAATCCGCCTTGTAAAGACCATCAGGGAGCTGAATGTAGACCGGCTCGGTCTCACCTTCCTTGTGCGTCTTGTAGAAGATGGTCATTCCTTTCCAGTAAAAACTGGCACGGCGCCTGGGATTGTGGCGCACTTCTTCTTCAGTCTCATTCACGATGAAGGTGTCCTCGGGATTCTTCCCAATGAGGATGCTCAGCCTGGAACGGCTTATCATCTTCGGGGGTCTCTGAAATCTTTTCCTTGGGCTTCTGTGGATCCTGGCTGCTGTGACTGGAAGTCCTGTCAGCTGTTTCAATAGGTCCACTTCATATCTTGAGACCCATTCATTTTGAAGGGAGCCAAACACAGTGGTCGCGGCCACCTGTGCACAGAAATTGGCCCTCAGCCTCTTAATGGCCTCATCAGCCTGAGCATCGTCGATTCCTTCGTGCCTTCGCTTGAGGGAAAATGGCACGTCATCCAGAGCCAACCTTCTCCTTTCCTCTCCTGGGATCTTCTTGAGAAACTCGGCCTCCCACTCATCATCATCCATGGGTGGCACCGGAACTTCGTGCGGTGCCCTGACTGTGGGAGGCTCGGCCTCAACCGCGGATGGCTCATCCAAACCTTCATCATCCGTATCGATATGTGGCGGCTCGCCATCATTGATTGGTGTTCCAGGTGTGTAGGCCTCTGACATGGCCTCCTCCTCTTCTCCAGCCAGTGGATCGGGTGGAGGTGGTAGAGGCGACACCTCAGGCGCTGCCTGTCCATCTTCGAGAGCCTTGGGCCTCTTTGGTCGAGATACCCTCTTCGGCTCGGGTTGGTCTTCGATCTGCTTCTCCGCCTTTCTCTTCCGGAACTGTCTCATGAGGTTCGAGCGGTCCTGAAGGATCTGGCGGATTGATTTGGTTCCCCGCAGAAGCATGCGGGCTCTTTTCCTTTCTGGTGTGTCGGGTTCAGCTTTTCGCTTGACGACCCTTGGAGGTGGTTTCAAGCGAGTTTGGTCCTTGTAGGTCTTCTCCCTGTGAGGGTCGCGCAGCAACTCCCCCAAATCATCTGCGTCCTCCTTCGCAGGCTCACGAAGTGCCAGCTCCTCCTTTGTCGCCAAACGTATGTTGGGCGCTGCCAGAAGGAGGGCGCGGCCTCTCCAGCTTGCAAAGTAGCGCTCTTTGCTTTCTCGCGTGAGAATAGTCGCGGGTCCCCGCCAAAGTCCACCACGTTTGTACCGCTTGTCGGCCTTCCTTGGTGTCCAGAAGTAGATCTGGGTTCCAGGACTGAATGGTCCCTCTCCTTCATGGGCAGGCTTACGCAGGATGGCCCTGCGCAACTTCTCTTGTACATCCATGCGGATCAATGCCAACCTTGCGCAAATGCGCATGCGATGAGCTCTGGCATATTCCGATTCCGCATCCAGAGCCTCTGCAAAGGTGGGCTTGGCGGTGTCTTCGGTGAGACTTGGGAACTTGATTTCGGCGCCATAAAGGCGTTGATTTGGAGTAAATCCGTCCTTGGTCACCGTCATGTTCTTGGCGGCAACTGCAGATGAGATCACCAACTTCATGGCGCTGAACCCCTCTGAGTTGTGCTCTGTGGTGATCGCTGTAATCATATTGCCAAGGATGGAACCATGGCGTTCTCCCACAGACAGCTGCCATCCTGCATGAGCACCTGTCACCGTGCTGGGCACTGCCATCTCTTCCAAAAGCTGGATGAATGAGAGCTCGAACTCTCCACCCTGATCATGGGTGATATGTTCAGGCACTCCAAACACCTGAACCCAGTGCCTCAGAAATTTTTGGGCCACATAGTCCGACCGTCGTGTTTTGAGTAGCACTGCCATGTGGTACGTTGTACCCAAATCAACTGCGCTCAAGCATGGGTACTTTCGGCCACGGCTATCAAAAACGAACTTGATGTCGATGTGGATCTTGCGATTGAAACCATACGGCCTCAAAGTGGGAGTTGAAGCCATGGGGTGCTTTGGAGGTTGCTGCTGGCTGCAAACTTCGCAGCGCCATCGCCGAGCATGGCGGATAGCCTCCTCAGTTGCCCCAGAGATGCGCAGCATCCTCACGAGGGTATCCCGGCTCGGGTGACCCAACTGTCGGTGTGCAAACTCGACAGCTTTTTGCACCTCTCGCGGCACAGCTCGCCGCTCATCCTCTTCTGGCTCTGCCAGCTCTTCTGCGATCTGTTCCTCCTCTTCTCGGATTGCATCCATACCATCCTGATAGGATTCTTCCGCCACGTGGTCCTCCAAGACGTAGACCTGCTTGCCATCTGGTCGGTGGATATAGTTGATCACCCCAGTCATGATCGCTCGGCACAGCGGGACTGGATAACCACCTGCCCAAGATGACAGGGAGATGGTGCCATCCTTGGTTCGGACAGAACCTTCGATGGGGAAATGCTCATGATTGCCTGGGCATCTCTTCCTCAACTCGGCCACGATCTCCTCCTGTCCAACGAACCTTGTGGCTTTCTTGAGAGGCATCCGATTTTCTGGATGTTTCAGGCCATACTGGCACTGATCGCAGATCCCTTGCGGGAAATCACCAAAACCATCGATGATTGGGTCTTCTTTCCAAGCCAAGCTTGTGAGCGGGTTTTCTCCCAAGGTGGCGCGGCCACGCTTCTGTCGTTTGAGAGACACCTGTGCAGAGAACTTGAGGAGCTTCCTCGATGTCTCTCTCTTGTGCTGCAATGCTTCGCGCTGCGTCCACGTTTTACTGTTCAGATTTTGGAGCAGCGACCAGGGCCCGCAGGGCCATGCCAACATGACAAAATCGGGGTCCACCTTGTCGATGTAGTCATGGGCTTCCAGTTGAATGCGAGGATCTGTCAGATCCCAGCCAGGGAGTGTGACTGGTTCTAGGTACTCCCATCCCAGACCATAGGCGAACCTTGACAGCATGCAGCTCCAAGTGAAGATCTCCATGATCTTCAGCCCTGTCCTCAGACGTCGAAAGCGTGGAACTTCCTTTTCCTTGCGGCGTCGATCGCACTCGACCTCAACCGCTTCGCTCACCTGCTTGGTGGCTGAAAGCAGCCTCCTCTTCTGACCTTTGGTCAGCTGTTCTGTGTCACCGGCGCTGCCGGCCATCATCACATCATCGGGCAGCTCCTCCTCTGAACTCGTGGACTCCTCTGCACTGCTATCCAAGACCATTGGAAGTCCACCTTCATGAGAGGTTTCACTCTCTCTCTCGCTGATTGATCCAGTGGAGCTATCGTCACGCTCCCCACCTGTGGTGACCCGGAAGCATTCCGTGCCGATGACGTCCAACAGATTGATGGCCTCCGACTCGGTGTCTTGTTGCCATTTGGCCATCGAATCCAGCTGCTGTGCCGTCCAATGCACAGCCTCATAGTTTGGTGCTTCGTCCCCGGCGCTGCCGGCATCAGAGCTCAGCTCATCAAGTGCCTCCTGCAGGAGGGCAAATGAATGTGGATCTGCCGCGAGGCGCTGCCTCAGCTCCCTGAGCTCGCCAACCTCCCATTGAACAGGATCTGGACGGTTGCCCACGTTGAGCAAGTTCAAAATGGGGTGTCGCGAAGGACTCAAAACTGTTGGCTGCCACTTGCCATGGATGGCAACTTGGAGCTTGGCAAAGTCGATCTGGACTTTCCATCTGGCCAGCTCTGCCGGGCCCACCAATCCAGGGCATTCTGCCACCCTGCCATCCTCCGGAGTGTTATCCACGACGGCAATGCGAACCCACGATCTGTGGTCATAGATCTGGATGGCATAGATGAACGCCTCTGTGCTCAAACTGGGGCCCCTGCACCAAAGCGAAACACCTCTTCATGGTATGCCTTGTAGAAAGGCATCCCTTTCTGGCGCATGAGCTCCTGGAGGTTGTTGTGCCAGTTTCGACCGGCCACTGCTGTTCTGCACCCTGTGTCCAGAATGACATGGCCAGGGGCCAGGATGTTGGAGTGGTACGCTCCATTGTCCTCCTCCAGGATGTCCGGCATAGTCTGGTCCACTGCCATTGCGCCATGCATAGCCGAATAGTACAGCACCTTTCGAAGCTTGCAGTCTCGGCAGCTTGCCCATTGGGCATTCGAGTTTGCTCCCCACAACAGTCGTTCAAAAGGGTGAGGGCAATTTTCCTGTTCAGCTGTCGGCAAGTCCGACGCCTCAGATGGTACCACGCGCCCTTTTCTGTTCTTCGCCGCCTCGTAGAGCTCCTTCCTGAACTGGTCCATGCGCTTCTTCCGAACTCCAACGGGCATCGTGGCTTCCATGTCCGGAGGCTCCTGCACGTCCTCCTTTCTTAGGCCGCGGCCCACTGTTCCAGAAGGTACGGACGCAGCCGAGTACCCATCGCGGCGGCGATCCGGCCTCTTCATCATTGTTGGGGTGCTTGAGGCCGCGTTCTTCCCGAAGAGCTTCACCGCCTCGTCTTCACGTTCCCTCTTCAACTGGCGGTAGAGGATCTTTTTCTCCTCCTTGCTCATGTGCGGCAGGAGCTGGAGCAAATCCGCTGTAGATAGGCCCATATCCTCATCCAACTTCGGATCCGGGGTCTCCTTCTTGGCTCTTGACTTCTTGGGTGCCTCTGATCCAGAAGCCTGGGAGCCAGTGGCTCGAGCTGCCGCCTTGTCCTGCAGGCGCTTCTCTTTGCGCTTCAATCGCTTCTTCACTTCGGCATCCTCCTCGTCCTCTGCCAGGGATTTCAAAACTGTCAGCAGCTTGACCTTCAGCTTTTCCTTGGTGGTTTTCTTCATCGCTGGTGGGTCATGCAGCTGATACTTCTTGACGTACTCGTCAATCTCGCTGTCGCTTGTGTCCGAATGAGATGAGACCGTCTCCTCTGCCTCAGAGTTATAGTCTTTGATCACATCCCATGAGCCAACCATCAGTGTCCAGTTGCACTGCCGCGCTGTGACACCTGATGATGGCTGCGAGACAAAGGCCTCCTCGTTGGCAGCTGCCGCACGAGGTTCTTCTGTGCCGGCTGCAGCCGCTTGCTCCTCCTCCTGTCGGCGACGACGTCGACCACGATCACGATCTCTGTCTCGATTCTTGTCTCGTTCCTCTCCAGTTGATCTTCTCGTTCGATCTTCCCCTGCCGAATGCTTTCTTCTCTTCGGCTTGGGCTTCTCTGGAGAGTTCTCCGCCTTGGGTTCCAACTCGGGTTCACGCCTCGGAGGTGAGGCTGCTTCCACAGGTCTCCTCCTACCTGGAGGGGGGTGATCTGGCTCCGGCGGCTGTCTCCTTGGTGGTGGAGGTTCCCGTGGTGCTCTCGGGACCACAAAGGTGTCTGCTGGAGACTTGTCGATTGCTCCTCTCCGGGGAGGTGAAGGAGGTTCTGGGGGCGCAGCCTTCCCAGTGCTCTTCAACCCGCTTGGGTGCAGCTTCCTCTGCAGAGGTTCTCGATCATCTCGTTCTCGGACATCTTGTGGGGGCTCGCGGGCCCCTCCAGCGGCACTTGAGGCGCTGCCTCGATTGGACCTGCCGGTGGTGTAGTTGGTGGAGTTCTCCTTGCGATGTGGTGCATCCTTTCCAGACCTGACATTTGGGCAGACACTGTCTCCTCTGCAGTGACCCTTCTGCCCACACGATGCACAGGTCGAGTTCTTCTTCCTTTCTTCCGGGTTGCGAGAGTCTGGACGCCTGCCCTTTCCTTTGCCCTTCGAAGGCTTTCCATCGCCTTTGTATCCTCTTGACTGCCTGGCTGCTGCAGTCTTGTTCTTTGCCTTCCATCCAGCTGCAAAGGCTTCCTGGAGGGCCGCTTGGTCCACATCATCGAGCTCTTCATCGTCGAACTCTTCCTGTGACCAATCCTCCTCTTCGGGCATGTCCTCCTCTGCCATGAGTGCCTCCTGCTCGAAGTCCTCGTCGTCCGTGTCGTTGTAGGCCTCCTCATAGTCATACCCCTCATCTTCTTGCTCGTCCACCACATGGGTATGTCTCGTAGGCCTGTAGGGACCTCGGCGGTCTGATCTCTTGTAGACCTTCTTCCTCTGCGGCTGGCGCTGCACAGCCCGACCGGCGCGGTCTTCCTGCCGTCGGCTCGACGGGTGTTCGTCCAGGTGGATCTGCGCACACCGGAACCTCAAGACCTTCTCTACTGGGGCCGAGCGGTAAGAACCGCCCGCCGCAAAGAAGCAGTCGTACCTTTCCTTGCGTGTCAGTGCAGCTCTGGTCAGCATCCGCTGCGCAAATGCGCGGTCAGATATGACTGTGCCTGTGTCCTCGCGCAAGTACTCGGTGCGCAAACGCTTGAGCGTTGCTAGATAGGCAGCTATGCTTTGGCCAGGAGAGCGGCGGTAATTGAGGAAAGCGGACTGCCTCTCCTCAAATCTCTCATCCGCCTTACTCCCATAAGCCTCCTCAAGGAGTCTCAATAGCCTTTGAAGGCCTCCCTCCTGCTGCATGTCGGCCACCTCCAGCTGATTCAAGACCTCCCGAGCTTCTCCTGTCGTGCTCAAAAACATCAGCACCGCCAGCTCGTTGTCCTGGATTTGATACAGTTGTTTCTGAGCCTGTATCGTCTTCATCCAGTTGCGGTACTGGGACCTGTCTCCGGAGAACGTCTCCAGTCTCACTTGGCCCAGGTTTGCCCTGGCCCTTCCATCAGGGCGGTTGTCTCGCTGATGCAGTAGGTCTCGAACTGAATCCGTGTTCATCGTCGATGATCTTCGGCTTGAAGGTGCACCCGAACCAGCTGTGGATGGAGGGCCGCTGCCATCCGGTGGTGCTCCACCACGTCTGCGTCTGTTAGGCGGATCTGCTGCCGCCTGATGCACCCTGTGCGCCGCCGCGCGTCGCTTGGGTCCAGGTCGCTGCCTGGCCTGTTCGGGTCGCGGCCCGGCTCCTCCACCTTCTGCGCTCCTCGGTGTCAGATTGACCGCAGACCGAGGTGTGACTTCGACCTCCTGGTCTGGCTCTTGGAGTTCCTCCTCCTCGCTCTCTTCTTCATAGGTGTAATCCGACCCATCTGGGTCTTCCCCATCGTCTCCGTCGCCCCAGTCGGGCGGATCTTCCTCGGGAGGCTCCTCCTTTGGTTTCTTCCCTTTTCGACCTGCGTCCTCCTTCTTCTCCTTGTCCTTGCCTTTATCCTTCTTTGATGGCTTCTCGGCTTCTGGCTCAGTCTTGGTCTTCGTCTGCGTCTTTGTGCCAGTGCCGTGTTGGCTCTTTCCGATCTTCTCGAACTCCATGGGGTTCACCTGAGTCTGTTGGCTCAGGAAACTCCATGATGAGTAGGGCGTTGACGACCATGAAGCCATCATCATTGCAGGGTCCACTGGCCACCACTGGCGCCCATCTGTGAACCATCCCTGACCAGGAATGGGCTGGGCATGCATCTGGCCTTTCCCAGTGGATTTTCCTCTGCCACCTATCGGCTCGGAGTGCGTCGATCCGGGGCCACGACCATGACGTCGAAAGTCCTCTTGCGGGTGCGGCGCTGCCGCCATTGGAGAAGGAAGCGTTCCTTCTTGAGGCGCAGCCTCCTTCAGGGACTCAGCCCTTTGTTGGGTTGCCACCCTACTGCCAGCAGGCCGTCTCGGCGCAGCCGAGGCCATGGGAGCCTGGAGCTTTGACAGCATCACAGCGCTCTGCTACCAATGCGGAGTGCAAGGGTAGCAAATTGGGCTCAGAGTAAAAGGGGCAAAAGCAGCTATTTTCGCTAGAGCAGCGCTTGAGTCAAGCTGCGGTGAAAAGCGGCTAAAATGCAAAAAGTGAAAATGCAAACTGCCGCACACCAAGCTTACACCTACCAACACATGGTTTTCACACCTAGAAGCTGTCCTCACTTCTGTAGCACATTGGTTTCCTTGGTTTTCTGCGCTACAACAAAGCATTGCCGTTCATATTGCAAACCAATTTCCACCCTCTCCGACAGAAGCAGTCATAATTACAACTATGCATCCTCTTGCCGAACAAACAGAACATGTCACAGCTACAGCAAGCATAGCTTGATTGACCTGGCTGCTGGTCAGCACAGGATTGCCAAGAATCGTGGAGTCGTTTTGTGGGAAGAATCCGAAGCAGAAGGGGTCAGTTTTCCATCCTTAACATTGGACAAGTTGAATTCAGCTCCAAAACTTCAACTTGACTGCCCCCCCGCATGCTAAGCCTGCCCTGCTGGCTGTGCACCACTCAATCTCAATACGTCTGAACCAACCGGAACCCATCAACCTCACACCATCAGGTTGTGCTCCATTTCCCTCTTCCAAGCTAGAAGAAACAAGCTGCACCAAGGTTCCGATCAAAGTGTCGGAATAGCCACCCTGCTTTCCATCCTTGCGCTTGATGGTGAACTGCTTCGGGTACAAGGGCTTGGCTACAGTTTTTGGGTCCACTTCACTGGCGTTGGCCACAATCTCACATGGCCTTGGAGTGTCTGAAAAAGGGGTATACGGTATACCTTGGGATACCCATCAAGTGGCAATTTGTTCCTAGGGATAGTGATGATTGACCATGATTGACCACTGGATTTTGGGGATCCCTGGGCACCCTATAATCCGATTGACATCACGACAGCCATGTTGGGACCCACCCACCACACTTCAGCAAGCGTCGTGATGATGATGTCGTCATTGGGATCGCCGTATGCCATGCCCCCAATGCCCTGCACCAGACTAGCCAGGCAAAAAAAAACAAACTGGACATACATGGACATATCATTCTATTCATGGACTTGATCCTTTTTGCATTAAGAACCATATTAAACTATTCAACCATAACCATATCAAACCCCCCAATGACTGGATCATGATCATCCTGTCTCAGACACAAAAAGCTCTGCGCCTCACAAAGTTGGCACCGCGGCATCTGATCCTGATCGCAGCGCCGCGTTCGGTTCCAGCCCTGCGGGTTGCCATCGTCCGGCCCGGTGAACTTCTTCAACCCATCGGGCACTGAGGTGCCTGGCACGCCCTTGTCATGGTCTGCCTGGGTGGAGTGACACCAATCCTTGGACGTTGCGCCAATTCCGACATTACGAAAAAAAACCTACAAGAAATCCCTACAGATTCTGCATTTCTGATGGATTAACCAATGGAAAAATCGAAAATCATCTCCAGAAAATCCGGGAATCACAAGAATTCGCCTCGTTGACTTTGGCGCAAAGCTCTTCTGCATCTGATGCAGATTCTGCAAGCATGCCATTGTCAATGGCCACACCCCCATCGCTATTCAGCTGGCCGCAGGGTTTCTTTGCTCCCTCTGGAAGCAGCGGCACAGAAAAGTTGGGCCGGGAACGGAGCTCTTGCCGTTTCTCCTCAGCTAAGTGATGCACCCACCACATCACCGCCTCTCTGCAATGAGCCTCCTTCTGAGGTGCATGTAAATGAGGATGCTTGTTCACCAGTTGATTGAATCTCTGCCACTGGGATCGGAACTCTGGCAAGGACTCTGAACGTATACTTCGACGATCCATGGTGGACTTGTAAATGAGCTGCAGCTCATGGCTGCGGTGCTCAGCCACCATGGCCATGAAGCTCTGCAGCTCGGACAGGGACCATTTCTCACATGGCAACGTTCGAGAGGAAGAACTCTCAGCCCGGATCAGGTGATCGTTCAGCTTTTTACTCATCGCCACCTGGCTGTGACCTCTGTAGTCAGCACCTGGCTTTTTGGTCTTGGCTCGCTGTACATCCTTTAAACCAACAGGGGCAGCACCGGAGGTCAAAAGAAAACCAAGGAGGAACACACGAAACGCCATGGCTCCAAACCTTTGCACCACGCGGCTGCAAGAGCTGTCTGGAAATTCACACAGCATTGGCTTGCAACGCATACAGGTAATACAGGGCAACTGAAATTTTGGGCGAACCCCAAATTTGATGGTTGAAGTCAGTTGAAGAATGTTGAAGAATGTTGAAGACCGTTTTCCTCGAAATGACGTTCCCATTTTACCCAGCCACGCCACCTCGTTGGACCCGACTCTTGGTGACGGTGATGGTTCGTGGTTCAAAAAGCATCCCAAAAAACATAATGTACTCAGATCATCATCCAAGATAAGGATAGATAAGGTAGAAATGCAAACATATTTCAGAATTCCCAAACACCAGCCAGATCGATTGTTGAGCGGACTCCAATGGTGGTTGCTGCGTGCGGTTGCTGCGTGCTGCTTGGAATGTGCCTCGACAGCATCTCAACTCCTTTTCCGCTTGAACAGCCAGCATGTCTGGTTTTTACAGGTGCATCAGCAAGCACACCCCCCCCACCTCCCTAAACGAAACATGTATAGATATAGATCAATATTAGATTGAATTTGTCCTCACCTTCTGGTCGTATCTGCTTGGCAAGCTGCAAACAGAACGATGCAACCGTCTGACGTTCACTTGCCATAGAGAGGGGGTTATTGGGTGCTGAATATTGCTGAATCGGCTGCTCTGCTTTGGCAGACTTTGGCAAAGGCCAACAGTGCTCAGACATTGTGGCATGTTCAGACAAGAACAAACAAGAATTGCTATTAGAGTGCTCTAAGGCCTCTAAAGGTGACCAGAATATCATCAGTGCCAGAAATTTCATTAAAACTAAGTTTTCAAGATGTCTCTAAAATCCTCTCAAAAGAAAAGATTCTTCAAATGTCAAAAGTATGTCAAAAGTGACAAGCAGTCAGTCATCTTGTCCGGTGACAAGTTGTCACTGCCACTCATGTCTGCCATGTGCGCTCAGCTTCTTCGTTCAGACAGCGGCTCAAACGGCCATCAGCTTGACTTTGGCTGCGAAGGTCTTCCCCTGAACGGCGGCAATTTTCAATTCGATTTCTGAAGGCTGCCGAGTACCTGTTGCTCCTGCGTAGGTGCTGGCACCCCAAGGGCTTCCTCCGTGCAACTCATCCATGCTTAAAAGGCTGGGATCCGCACTGCCCAAGGGTACATAGATCATGCCATGGTGAACGAAATTGGGGAGGTGTGTGAAGTGGGTTGTTTCTTGGCCTCCCTGTGGTGTTCCAGTGCTCACAAAGGATGCACCCAACTTTCCCACCATTTTTGCAGCTTGCCAAAGTCCGCCAGTGGAATCCCAAAAGCTCTTGATTTGACTAGCTGGTTGCCCAAAACGTGTAGGAACTCCGACCATGATTCCATCACACGCCAGCAATTCTTCCAAGTTGGCATGTTCAATGACTTTGTCCTCAGACTTTGGAGGTGCTCCCATAGCAGTGAGCACTCCTTCATCAAGGGTTTCCTTCACCTGATATTTCACCACTTCCACTCCTTCTGCTTCAACGGCCTTAGCAATCTCATCTGCCATCTTCTTGATGTGGCCATAGGTGTAGTACACTAAACCAACCTTGCACTTCCGCGAGACCTCTGCTGTTTTGGTGCGCTTCACCGCATCAGCAAACTTCTCTCCCTGAAGGTTCGCCATTTGTAGCTCCATTTCCGATGGCTTTCGGCTGCCATCACCGGCCGCAAGGGTGCTGGCACCCCAAGGACTTGCGCCGTGGATCTCGTCAACGGAGAACATGGGTCCGCCTCCCTGATAACCAAATGGCACATACATCAGTCCATGATGAACCAAGCACGAAAGAGTTTGCATGTGGGTAAGCTCTTGCCCGCCATTTTGGGTGGCGGTACTGACAAAGGTCCCAGCGGGTTTACCCGCCAAGGATTGCTTCATCCAGTGGCCCCCAGTCATGTCAAAGAAGGCCTTCATCTGAGCACACATCATGCCGAAGCGGGTTGGAATGCCAAACATGAAGCCATCATACCTGGTGGACCAGTGCACCACTGAACCAACCCTTTGGATGTGTCCTGGAACAACAGTGGACGTGGAAAACTCCTACTGCCATTGCATAGCTGGAGTCACCAAAACATAAACTTCAAGAAAAAAAGAAAAGCACCACAAAACACCACCAAGATGCTCATGAAGCTTTGTGACCATCTCCATGTCCAAGGTTGGCACATCTGGATTTTTCGGAGGAGCTCCCATCATTTTCAGAATATCATCCGGGAGTGTCTCTGGCACTTGAAACATGTCCACAGAAACACCTCCTTTCTCCAGGCCTTTCTTGATTTCCTGCGCCATGCCTTCTACGTGACCATACATGGAGTAGTAGATGATTGCCACTGTTTGATCCCCAGAAGCTTTTTTCTCAGCCTTGGGGCCAGCCTTCTTTGAGGCAAGAGCCGCCACTGCCTTTGCCTTTTTCTCCTCGGGCATGTTGTCCAAGGCCTTCTGGATATCCTCATCTGTGGCATTTTTGGCCGCCTCAGCCGCATCAACGGATGAACCAGATCCCATGTCGCAAGCGGAGACACGCGCGGGGTCGGTATGACCACACGACAGCGGGAGACCCTTCACGCAACAAGCTGCTGGAGCCAGAAACAAAGCGCGCCACAACACGCTGAAAAGAAATGAAAAGAACACATCAACGTTGGTGTCTCCAGGGAGCACACCAATCAGGCATCAAAGATCAACTGCCACAAAAACTGGCAAGACATTTGAAGCGTTCAAGCCGGCCTCAGAAGCAGATGCCATGCTAGCTGCAGGGGCCCTCACCCTGGCCATAAGTCAAAATGAATCAAGTTGCAATCTGGAAGATAGCCCCATTGTGTATATATATAATACAATGTGTATCTATGTGTGTAATTACATGTGTATATACATATATATATACACACATTGTCTATCTATCCGCATAATATAAATATACAAAAATTGGGAATTGCTGGAATGACAATGAGCGGTGTAAAGTGTTTAAAGCGATTTACAATGTAGCAGGAATCACAGAGTTTTCCCGGCCTGGCCAGTCCCCGTCCAAGATGCATGGCCTGCACCTCATGCGAATGGGTGAGACTTAGTGGTGCTTCATAAACGCAGACAAATGAAACCATATGGAGGTTTCCTGAAATGGGGGTACCCCCATATCGGGTTCTTTCAAGACACCCCCATATCTTAAATAGGAAAAACATGCCATCATGGACAGGGATTGAATCAGTGCCATGAGCTGCTCAAAGCTAAGAGCATGGACAGTACATTGGGGAAAGTGTCCTGCAGCATGCATCTGGCAATCTGGCGTGTACACTTGCATGGTCCCATCTTCAAACTATCCACCTTTCCTGTGCAGCAAATGGTCTCGTGGAAGTAGTTCCAACCACATGACATATTACATGTCTGGAAAAAAAGGTTGTCCTTTTCGCTGAAGCCATCTGAAACGCAAGCGGCTTTTGGCCAGGGTGGCACAGGTCTTCGTTGCTTCACTGCTGGAAGCACGAAACACTGCCCCTGCCATGTTGAAAAAAATGTATACAATGTATACCGAATCTATGTCAGTATGTATGTGTATATATATATATATAATTATATATATATGTACACATATTCCATAAATACACATACAATATCATGCAATGAGCTCCGTGATATCAGTGACCACAACCTGCATGACATAAATCGCACAAAATCCGCATCAAACTTACGTTGGAGCAGTTTGTTTCATTCTGACATCTGGAGCCGTGATGTAGCGACCATGGAGTCACATGCACTAGCTCTCTGAAACCGATGCTGTTTACTGGGACGAAAGCCAGCGATGTTTGGGTTGACTGGGTTGACTGGGTTGACCATCCATGAAAAAAAGCACTTAAAAAAGCCATGACCATCAGCCATCATCGCTTCTTTTTTCTGAAAGTAACCTGGTCACTGGCATGGAGTCTCTGCTCCCAGCACCTCCAGAATTCGATCAAGGGAACATGAAACCAAGAAACCTGTTCTCCGTGGCCAAAAACAGGGTGTCGCGATGTTTCGTGTAAATGTGATTTGATCCCCCAATCCAATGAAATTTGCCCAGGTGCTTTCCCATATCTTCTGCTTCCGCTGCTCTCGGAGTTCAGGATGTTCTGAATCAGCTTCAATCTGACCATGTCGGAGCATGTGTTGAGTGTTACCCAGCGCACAAGTCCAAAGAACTTCCAAGTTTAACCACTGGTGCCTATGAGATATCACTGCATTCAAGAAGTATCTGGCTGTTTTTCAACACACCATAGTTAATCATGATATATCATTCAGAATATATCAAATTATAAGTTATATCGCAGTTATATTATGTTATATTTAGTATACCCACTATGTACCTGTTATATCCAACTTCTTGCACCCCGCCTAGGTTCAAAAGCAAGATGAGGCACGTCAGGTTGTCAGTAGAGCCGCGATCTTTGGCAGCCTGCACGACAAGTTGCGCTGCTTCTTGCAGCACACCAGCCACGCCACGCCGTGGGTCCTGCCACATGCATCCGGCAGTTTGCTCCAGGCAATGAAGATCAAGAAGTACATTGGAGAATGGGAATATTTGTCCACATGTTCAAAGTGTCCTTTCACAACTAGTTCGCTTGCTCCAATGCAGCAAAAACACGTTGTATTCTGCAGTGCTGTGTGCCAATCTAAGTGTGAATCACGGTCCTGGGCGGAGCCTAAGAGATCCCACACAAGATCCACGGCGATTTGGTCATCAAGCACGTCCCATACTCCATCCTTACAGCGAGATGAGTCTGTTTTCCACTGGGAGTTGCAGGAAACCTTGGAAGCTGGCACTCGCCAAAACGACGAAAGCAGGCCTCAGCCATGCAGCCATTGACTGGTACCGAAATGGTATCAGTTCAAAAAATGAACCGTAGACTGGAATGACATGAAACCAATGATTATGATTCACCTTCATTTCCTCCCCATAGCTTACCACTGTTTCTTGGTATCAGTTTGGGGAAGAAAGCTTCCTTAGAGCCGAACAGCAAGGGTTGCGAATCATCTCGGGACCCTTCAGCCTACATACGATGTGTCTGAAAATGGAGTATACCCCCAAACTGCCATCAGGAAGATGATGATGACAATCCTTTGGGAATTGGGGTCGCCCTATTTTCAAACCAAGGGACGTGGAAAGTCAAGGCTGGGACGAGTCGGGGCACTCGAGTCAAGAGATGCGCTGGATTTGTGTTTTCCATCCATGGGTGTCAAGTTTCACATCAAGTCAATAATGGATCATCCATATCATTGTTTTCTAGGGATCATATTGTTAAATGCCCAAGTCAATCATATTTAATAATCATTCATGGACATCAGCATCAATGGACATCAGCCAACGTCATCCACCGCGATGCTTTGGTGCAGGCCTTGCATCTGCCTTCCACAGCACCTTGCAGAAACAGCTGGGCGGATTGAAGCCATTTCTCGCACGCGGGGACGGCTGAGCATGGGCACACGGCTTCAAAGGCAAGGTATGAAACCTTGGTGAATCGTGCCAAGAGCCATGTATCACAGCGCTAAGCGTTTTCTACTGGAGTTGCCACATTGCAGATTGTTGGAGATTCTGGCATGTTTTCAGCCTAGCAATGGGTGCAACTGGCGTGTGTCCTTGACCAGGTGATGACAGAGTCTCAAACGTGTATTGCAAGAATTCAACCTTCAACCGCCTCACATAGACATAGAAGTCATAGAAGTAAGATCGTGGCTCTGGTTCTGCGCTGACAAGCGGTCTTCGCTCTATTCCTGTGAAGCTCCTGCCAAGTAGGGTGCCTTCAACCCCAACAGGCCCCAACATGTTTCCATGGATCTATTTACATCCTATGTAGCAATGAACGCAGGGCCTAGAAATGTGAATAACAGAAACAGGACTTGCTACTTGGCACTCAGCAAAGCCAAGCTGAAGTGGGGATGGGTCAAGTCATAGGGTACCGAAGATGGATGGTTGACTACTGACTACTGAAAATGACCCAAATCTATTGTTTCCACCAGATCCACCAGGCTGAATTAGCTACTTCAAGATCATTCTCTTTGCCCCAACTTCTCCTAGAAGTGGCCAAACCGGCTACACGAGCAGAACGGATGTCACCGCTCTGATCTCCCTGGCTGTGCAAATGTCTGAACATCAAAGTCCAATCATCTCAGAGCAGGAACCAACTGACCAACCCACTGCCACCAAACAATGCCAAGCACATCAGTATCTTTCACATTCCTGCCTGTACATGGGTTGATTTCAACCAGTCGATCTTTCCGCCCAAAGCCTGTGGAGCGGGGTCACGTGACCCCACTTCGATTTCGATTGAATAAACCCGGGCCAACAAGCAGTGGTGGGTAGAAACATATGGCAGACATCATCGCAGACATCGCAGACACGGCGACTTCCCAACCATCAGCAGTTCCTCGATGCGGCGGGTCTCTTCAGGAACACCAGGTTTGTGGTCCTGATTTCAGCGACGGTTGAGCCGCCCATCCCAACAAAGGGCATCATTTGGTTTTTTTTTTGGCTGACATGTTCGAAGCATTCTATTTGTTTGACATGAAACTATGCTTAAATGATCAGCCATCGTTGTATGACCTCCACAAGACACACAACTGGCTACGACTCTTATAAAATACATCTATTTGTCTATCAGAAATGGGATGTCCAATTGCCAGCCCAGTTCTATTTGTGCATGGTTTGTTTTCCAACTTAGATCCAACGCCGAGATGTTTCACAATTCCTACTGTACTCAATTGAAGATAATTATATCCGCCGACCCCGGCTGCGCAAGGGGGAGCGCGAAAGGGAAAAGGATTTTCTGACACAGCATTGGTAGCAATTTTTTCTGTTCTATATCCGCCGACCCCAACTTCTAGTACTACTACTACTACTACTACTACTACTATTACTACTACTCAGCAGGCCGCCGCAGGCAGCAGCAGGCGTCAGTAGGCAGCAGCAGACACAAGCAGACGCAGCAGCAGTAAGCGCAACGGCAGCAGTGCAGCAGCTAGCAGCACGAAAAATTGTGTTTTTCTAGGATGGCATGGGTGTCAAGAACGTGGGCAAGAGCACGCAAAAGGTGCACATAGCCAGTAGCTAGCAGCCAGCGACAGTAGCAGCCAGCAGCTAGTAGCCAGCAGCCTACCCAAAATCTAGATTTTTCTAGGATTTCAGACGACACGTTAGGCACTTTTTTGGCGTGGTTCTGGCACTCGCTCGTCCTTCAGAGCCCTGGTGTTTTCCCCCCGGCAAGTGATTTTTTCGAACCTGTTTTACTGCTAGCAGCCGCCAGCAACAGAATCTATCGAAAAATTGTGTTTTTCCAAGCAGACGCAGCAGCAGCAAGCGCAACGGCAGCAGTGCAGCAGCTAGCAGCACGAAAAATTGTGTTTTTCTAGGATGGCACCAATGGGTGTCAAGAACATGGGCAAGAGCACGCAAAAGGTGCACATAGCCAGTAGCTAGCAGCCAGCGCTAGTAGCAGCCAGCAGCCAGTAGCCAGCAGCCTACCAAAAATCTCTAGATTTTTCTAGGATTTCAGACGACACGTTAGGCACTTTTTTGGCGTGGTTCTGGCACTCGCTCGTCCTTCACAGCCCTGGTGTTTTCCCCCCCGGCAGGTGATTTTTTCGAACCTGTTTTACTGCTAGCAGCCGCCAGCAACAGAATCTATCGAAAAATTGTGTTTTTCTAGGGTGTCAGACGACACGTTAGGCACTTCTATATATCTTGTATATATTTCTATAGGGTTTCAAACGTGACATTTGGCAGTTTTCTCGTTTATATAGCACCAATGGGTGTCAAGAACATGGGCAAGAGCACGCAAAAGGTGCACATAGCCAGTAGCTAGCAGCCAGCGCCAGTAGCAGCCAACAGCCAGTAGCCAGCAGCCTACCAAAAATCTCTAGATTTTTCTAGGATTTCAGACGACACGTTAGGCACTTTTTTGGCGTGATTCTGGCACTCGCTCGTCCTTCAGAGCCCTGGTGTTTTCCCCCGGGAGGTGATTTTTTCGAAACTGTTTTACTGCTAGCAGCCTCCAGCAACAGAATCTGTCGAAAAATTGTGTTTTTCTAGGATGTCAGACGACACGTTAGGCACTTCTATATATCTTGTATATATTTCTATAGGGTTTCAGACGTCACGTTTGGCAATTTTCTCATTTATATGGCACCAATGGGTGTCAAGAACATGGGCAAGAGCATGCAAAAGGGCAGCAGCAGCAGTTGTTTCTTGCTTTGGAAGCTGTTTGATTGCAGCAGCACGACAGCAGCACCACAGCAGCAGCAGCCACCAGCAGCAGCACCAGCAGCAGGCAGCAGGCCGCCGCAGGCAGCAGCAAGCATCAGTAGGCAGCAGCAGACACAAGCAGACGCAGCAGCAGTACGCGCAACGGCAGCAGTGCAGCAGCTAGCAGCACGAAAAATGGTGGTTTTCAAGGATGGCACCAATGGCTAGCAGCCAGCGCCAGTAGCAGCCAGCAGCCAGTAGCCAGCAGCCTACCAAAAATCTCTAGATTTTTCTAGGATTTCAGACGACATGTTAGGCACTTTTTTGGCGTGGTTCTAGCACTCGCTCGTCCTTCAGAGCCCTGGTGTTTTCCCCCCCGGCAGGTGATTTTTTCGAACCTGTTTTACTGCTAGCAGCAGCCAGCAACAGAATCTATCGAAAAATTACGTTTTTCCAACCAGACGCAGCAGCAGTAAGCGCAACGGCAGCAGTGCAGCAGCTAGCAGCACGAAAAATTGTGTTTTTCTAGGATGGCACCAATGGGTGTCAAGAACGTGGGCAAGAGCACGCAAGCGCCAGTAGCAGCCAGCAGCCAGTAGCCAGCAGCCTACCAAAAATCTAGCTTTTCCTAGGATTTCAGACGACACGTTAGGCACTTTTTTGGCGTGGTTCTGGCACTCGCTCGTCCTTCAGAGCCCTGGTGTTTTCCCCCCCGGCAGGTGATTTTTTCGAACCTGTTTTACTGCTAGCAGCCGCCAGCAACAGAATCTATCGAAAAGTTGTGTTTTTCTAGGGTGTCAGACGACACGTTAGGCACTTCTATATATCTTGTATATATTTCTATAAGGTTTCAAACGTGACGTTTGGCAGTTTTCTCGTTTATATAGCACCAATGGGTGTCAAGAACATGGGCAAGAGCACGCAAAGGTGCACATAGCCAGTAGCTAGCAGCCAGCGCCAGTAGCAGCCAACAGCCAGTAGCCAGCAGCCTACCAAAAATCTAGCTTTTTCTAGGATTTCAGACGACACGTTAGGCACTTTTTTGGCGTGATTCTGGCACTCGCTCGTCCTTCAGAGCCCTGGTGTTTTCCCCCGGGAGGTGATTTTTTCGAAACTGTTTTACTGCTAGCAGCCTCCAGCAACAGAATCTGTCGAAAAATTGTGTTTTTCTAGGATGTCAGACGACACGTTAGGCACTTCTATATATCTTGTATATCTTGTATATATTTCTATAGGGTTTCAGACGTCACGTTTGGTAATTTTCTCATTTATATGGCACCAATGGGTGTCAAGAACATGGGCAAGAGCACGCAAAAGGGCAGCAGCAGCAGCAGAAGCAGCAGCAGCAGCAGCAGCAGCAGTTGTTTCTTGCTTTGGAAGCTGTTTGATTGCAGCAGCACGACAGCAGCACCACAGCAGCAGCAGCCACCAGCAGCAGCACCAGCAGGAGGCAGCAGGCCGCCGCAGGCAGCAGCAGGCAGCAGCAAGCATCAGTAGGCAGCAGCAGACACAAGCAGACGCAGCAGCAGTAAGCGCAACGGCAGCAGTGCAGCAGCTAGCAGCACGAGAAATTGTGTTTTTCTAGGATGGCACCAATGGGTGTCAAGAACGTGGGCAAGAGCACGCAAAAGGTGCACATAGCCAGTAGCTAGCAGCCAGCGCCAGTAGCAGCCAGCAGCCAGTAGCCAGTCAGCCTACCAAAAATCTAGATTTTTCTAGGATTTCAGACGACACGTTAGGCACTTTTTTGGCGTGGTTCTGGCACTCGCTCGTCCTTCAGAGCCCTGGTGTTTTCCCCCCCGGGAGGTGATTTTTTCGAACCTGTTTTACTGCTAGCAGCCGCCAGCAACAGAATCTATCGAAAAATTGTGTTTTTCTAGGGTGTCAGACGACACGTTAGGCACTTCTATATATATTGTGTATATTTCTATAGGGTTTCAAACGTGACGTTTGGCAGTTTTCTCGTTTATATAGCACCAATGGGTGTCAAGAACGTGGGCAAGAGCACGCAAAAGGTGCACATAGCCAGTAGCTAGCACCCAGCGCCAGTAGCAGCCAACAGCCAGTAGCCAGCAGCCTACCCAAAATCTAGCTTTTTCTAGGATTTCAGACGACACGTTAGGCACTTTTTTGGCGTGGTTCTGGCACTCGCTCGTCCTTCAGAGCCCTGGTGTTTTCCCCCCCGGCAGGTGATTTTTTCGAACCTGTTTTACTGCTAGCAGCCTCCAGCAACAGAATCTGTCGAAAAAATGTGTTTTTCTAGGATGTCAGACGACACGTTAGGCACTTCTATATATCTTGTATATATTTCTATAGGGTTTCAGACGTCACGTTTGGCAATTTTCTCATTTATATGGCACCAATGGGTGTCAAGAACATGGGCAAGAGCATGCAAAAGGGCAGCAGCAGCAGCAGAAGCAGCAGCAGCAGCAGCAGCAGCAGTTGTTTCTTGCTTTGGAAGCTGTTTGATTGCAGCAGCACGACAGCAGCACCACAGCAGCAGCAGCCACCAGCAGCAGCCCCAGCAGCAGGCAGCAGGCCGCCGCAGGCAGCAGCAGGCAGCAGCAAGCATCAGTAGGCAGCAGCAGACACAAGCAGACGCAGCAGCAGTACGCGCAACGGCAGCAGTGCAGCAGCTAGCAGCACGAAAAATTGTGTTTTTCTAGGATGGCACCAATGGGTGTCAAGAACGTGGGCAAGAGCACGCAAAAGGTGCACATAGCCAGTAGCTAGCAGCCAGCGCCAGTAGCAGCCAGCAGCCAGTAGCCAGCAGCCTACCAAAAATCTACATTTTTCTAGGATTTCAGACGACACGTTAGGCACTTTTTTGGCGTGGTTCTGGCACTCGCTCGTCCTTCAGAGCCCTGGTGTTTTCCCCCCGGCAGGTGATTTTTTCGAACCTGTTTTACTGCTAGCAGCCGCCAGCAACAGAATCTATCGAAAAATTGTGTTTTTCTAGGGTGTCAGACGACACGTTAGGCACTTCTATATATCTTGTATATATTTCTATAGGGTTTCAAACGTGACGTTTTGGTTTTCTCGTTTATATAGCACCAATGGGTGTCAAGAACATGGGCAAGAGCACGCAAAAGGTGCACATAGCCAGTAGCTAGCAGCCAGCGCCAGTAGCAGCCAACAGCCAGTAGCCAGCAGCCTACCAAAAATCTAGCTTTTTCTAGGATTTCAGACGACACGTTAGGCACTTTTTTGGCGTGATTCTGGCACTCGCTCGTCCTTCAGAGCCCTGGTGTTTTCCCCCGGGAGGTGATTTTTTCGAAACTGTTTTACTGCTAGCAGCCTCCAGCAACAGAATCTGTCGAAAAATTGTGTTTTTCTAGGATGTCAGACGACACGTTAGGCACTTCTATATATCTTGTATATATTTCTATAGGGTTTCAGACGTCACGTTTGGTAATTTTCTCATTTATATGGCACCAATGGGTGTCAAGAACATGGGCAAGAGCACGCAAAAGGGCAGCAGCAGCAGCAGAAGCAGCAGCAGCAGCAGCAGTTGTTTCTTGCTTTGGAAGCTGTTTGATTGCAGCAGCACGACAGCAGCACCACAGCAGCAGCAGCCACCAGCAGCAGCACCAGCAGCAGGCAGCAGGCCGCCGCAGGCAGCAGCAGTCAGCAGCAAGCATCAGTAGGCAGCAGCAGACACAAGCAGACGCAGCAGCAGTACGCGCAACGGCAGCAGTGCAGCAGCTAGCAGCACGAAAAATTGTGTTTTTCTAGGATGGCACCAATGGGTGTCAAGAACGTGGGCAAGAGCACGCAAAAGGTGCACATAGCCAGTAGCTAGCAGCCAGCGCCAGTAGCAGCCAGCAGCCAGTAGCCAGCAGCCTACCAAAAATCTAGATTTTTCTAGGATTTCAGACGACACGTTAGGCACTTTTTTGGCGTGGTTCTGGCACTCGCTCGTCCTTCAGAGCCCTGGTGTTTTCCCCCCCGGGAGGTGATTTTTTCGAACCTGTTTTACTGCTAGCAGCCGTCAGCAACAGAATCTATCGAAAAATTGTGTTTTGCTAGGGTGTCAGACGACACGTTAGGCACTGCTATATATCTTGTATATATTTCTATAGGGTTACGTGACGTTTGGCAGTTTTCTCGTTTATATAGCACCAATGGGTGTCAAGAACATGGGCAAGAGCACGCAAAAGGTGCACATAGCTAGTAGCCAGCAGCCAGCGCCAGTAGCAGCTAGCAGCCAGTAGCCAGCAGCTTATTTAAAAAAAAATCAGCTGTTTCTGGGCTTTCAGACGACACGTTAGGCAGTTTTTTGGCGTGGTTCTGGAACTCAGTCGTCCTTCAGAGCCCTGGTGTTTTCTCCACGAGAGGTGATTTCCAGGGCATGTTGTTTTTCTTCGGCAGGTGATTATTTGCGAGCCTGTTTTCTTGTTGCAAGTTTTCATGCTGAGAGCTTCTTTGTTGTTACTTTGCATGCCATTCCGTTCGGCGGCACACGCGACCATTGGATTGTTTGTGTTTGCTTTTGATTCGCCCAAATTCTTTGGTGCTTTGGACGCAGGTTCCACAAGTAGGGCATGTATGCGAAAAGTGGGCTGTCGGCCGAAGAACTCCATCCTGCACGCGAATTTGTTTCCCGCACACGCGTCGGTGGTCGACATTTCCGGAAGCAATTGAAGTAGTAATAGATTTTTCGCAGAAAGGGCATACGTACACATAATTCTTTTCTGGTGGTGGACTTTGTTCTCTTTCTTTTGGGATTGCAATCTCATGTGTACCTTCTTTTTCGTTCGTCATGGTCTGGCTCGTGCGTTTTTGTCTGTGTTCTGCAATCGCTTCCCATGTCTCGCGTAGCACGTGGGTCCGACGCAATTTTTTGCGAAGAGGTTCCAGTCGGCTTATGTTCGATGCAGCAGCCCGCTTGCGGAGAACAGCTTGCGCAAGAACGGCGCGACATGCATTGCATGTTTGTGCACCGTTTTCGCCAGAAGACCGCTTTCTAATGAAATCAGAAAATTGCTGCTGCGGTTTGCGTTGCTGACATGCTGCGCACTTCCAAGAACCACGCGTTTTCGTTTGGCACTGCAAACACACTCTTCGCTTGGGCTCCCTTGCCATCCACGCTGAGGCGCCGAAGTGTTCTTTCGTTTGTTTGCTTTGGCAAACAAAACATGCTTTTTTGGTATCACATGACATACAGACGCGATACATGCTCCAGCGGGGGTTTTGGTGCTTCCGCAGAAAGTGGGAGGCAGCGTGCCACAGGCCGCACTGCGTGCATCGATATGGTGTGCCGGCCTCGCGCTTCTGCGATGTGCATTCTTTGCACACGCGGTAGGTTTCCTGTTTCCACTGTGCCTTGGTGAATGCGTCTTTGCGTTTTATCTCCCCACATTCTTGGCAAGGCCGTTCCTCCAAATATTTTTTTCGCAAGGCGTCCCAATCGACCGGCTCTTGCTTCCACACGTCAAGCAGAAGTTGCCGTCCGAGCGGCAGGCCCTCTTGAAAAGGCGCCAGCGGGAACGGACGGTAGATCAAGATCTTTTGCCGTGTGCGGCAGCGTGTCATCCCAATGTACGCCGCTATTGGGTCCGCACCAACCATGTCAACGATCACGCCCGGCTCTATCGTGCTTCCTTGCGCGCCGTAGAACGTGTCAGCGAAGTCGGGCGCGATGGGAAATTGGTAACGTGTCACTTTCAATTGTGGGTTGGCGCGGCCCGCGTCCAAAAACCACTGTGCACTTTGCACGCTGACTGGGAAGACGTTTTCTTGATCGATGCCTGGAATTGCCCACCGTGTTCGTGTCTCAAAACGCACGAAGATATATTCGGGAAGCTTGTTCCAAATTACTGCCCCGTCTGCCGACGCTGTTTCTGTCTCAATGCAAGACCACCCGCATACTGTTCCATGGCACCCTTTCAAAATCTTGAATTCTTTGCGGTAGAGATGTTCTCGCGCTTGTACCGGCATACCAATGCACAGCGGAAGGACGCCGTACCGGTTGCCGCAGTCGGCGTCGCTGCGTTGCAGCCATGTGAGCTTGTCTTGGGCGATGTCAGGCTTCTCGCGCAAAGCTCGTGATGATACCTTGTCCGTAGCCACTGCATAATAGATGACTTGCCCCTGCTGCCGCGCCCATTGTTCTGCGCGAAGTTTATTCACGTGGCACTTCACACCGTTCGTGTGGAAAATTCCGCGGGCGAACCTGAAACTCTCCGCAAACCGAGGGTCGTCTGGAGCCACCGCAACCAAACGCTTACTTTCTCGTTCGGAGTGGCAGATTGCACATTCGTATTTGAGAATTGCTGCTGCTGTGGAACCGTGCTTGTACAAGCGATAGCATGTATTTTCTCCGCAGGTGGGCTGCTGCGTTTTTGTGCACCAGCTTCCCGGAACGCTTGTAGGTCGCCCATGTAGGAATGCATGGTTGTCGTCGGATAAGTGTCCGACGCGAAGTTCAGCTTGCAACTCCTGCAACCAAACATCTTGCGTTCGTTCGCACCGTGTGAGTTCTGTGACTCCGTGTAGGCCACCTTGTCTGCTGGCAGCACATACGATCTGCTGGCCTTGCAAACTTAGTGGTAATTTCTTAGATGGAACGCCTGTTACAAGGTGCCATGGAATTTGACCGAGAAACGTTCCACGTGGTGGAGGTAGCTGCCACAGGTCGCCCGAGAGAATGACATTTAGGCCACCGAAGGGCGCAACACAGGTAGGGGTACGTTTGCCATATTTTGTTGCGGAAATATCTAAAACCAGTTGCCGACAGCGGGCTTCGAGGCGTGCTAACATTTCAGCACTCACCATGCTAATTTCGTCTAGCAGAAGCCAGCGCCACTGCACGGCTTGCTGCGCCAGGTCCAGAATCCGTTGTCCGGCAACGTTGTGATCGTTGCCGTGCCACGACAGTCCGAGAGCTTTGTGGATTGTCTCACCATCCAAGGGCTCAGCGTTCACAGCTTGAAACGCAACAACTTGAAATTCTTTGCCTGCAGTCCAGCCAAGACATTTTTCGAACAAGTCACGGCGTAATATGTTCAGCACGTACGACTTGCCTGTGCCCGGCCCGCCATGCAATGCCCAGCGAAGAGCCTCCGTGTTTGTTCGGGGTCGGCGGCAGGGGCGGCAGCCCTTAAATAAAGCATATTGACAAGTCTCTTTAGTTCACCATCAGCCACCACCTTCTTTTCCATGCTGCACCCTTGAATTCTTCGCCAAAACCCACGGCATCCACATGGCGGTTCCTTCGTCAAACGCACTGCGCGCAACTCGCTTAGGAGCTGGAGGGACTGCCTGTGCAGTGGCTACGGGTCCAATTTCAGGAAATCCCCAAATTGACAACCCATGTGGTTCCCCCAATCTTGTTGCTTGCCATTCGCAAACCACATTTTTTTCAAAGTAAATCACCTATATTCCTGGGCCAGAACCTTGTTGTCATCGGAGGCTCACCAGGCACCAAGCTATCAGAGGATATTTTTTCCAAGTTATCCACCACCCGGGTATTTTCTTCGCTTCCACCGAGTTCCCGGGCGCTCGAAAGGGTCTCAAGGTGCCATCCCGCAGCAGCCGCACCACGCAGAAGATGCGCCGAGGCCGTCCAGGGGCAGCCTCTGCCTGTCCACGGTTGCAGATGCATCCAGGCTGAATTCATCACCCAAAAATGCGACGAAAATGGCTGACAAAGTCTAGAGATGTTGGAAACACCCCAAAAATATCGAGAATTCAACTATCAAAACAGGTTCAGAAGTAAGAAGATGAGGAATTTCGCCCACAAAAAATGCACTCAGAACCAAGAATGATGGATAGAGGGCCAACAGAAGATGGATGTAATTGCAAAACCAATACAAATGGGCCTGTCCGAAATGAAAAGAACAAACAAACTGGGGCTTCACCCTGTGAAAGAAACCATGAAACGTTTCGGGTCCTCAGGTTGCAACGTGGCCAAGATAAAAACAGAATCGACGGTCTGAGCTTCCAGCTACTCTCACCTGCAAGGTGCTTGCAGCAAAACTAAGAATCTACTTCAAGGATTCTTCAAGGTGCATCCCAGTTGGTAAATGGTGGTGAAATGGTGATCCATTAATCTTACTGGTGGTAACTTAGTATATAAATGAGTGTAAATGGTTTATAACAATTTATAACATGTTACCCATTCATCTATCAGTATTCCTGGGATGCACCCAATCGTCGGAAGCCCGCCTCCACTACAGTGCCCCGCTGTCCTCTCAGTTCATCACTGCGGGCATCCTTTACCTCTGGATGTCTGGAAACTGCACCAGGTGATGGCTGAGGGGAAACAAAAATGACTGCGAAGAAGTCAGAAAAGTCAAATGCACTGCTTCAAAATGAAGGCATCACATGCAGAAACCGTGAAAATACGGAAAAAGAACCTGGAAAAAGATCCAAATAGACACAGTAAGCTGTTTGAATGAAATACGAGTAACCATGCAGTTGGTTGGAAAACACTGGAAAGATCACAAAATCTCTGGTTTCAAAATAACATAAGCTCAGGATTTGTTCTTTTCAGCAGCTTCAGAAAACTGGTGATGGATATGTGATGGTCAGCAACGAGAAACGTCCAACCAGTCCAACCCACTGGGTCTTCCACCTCTACCCTGGCGCCGCGGGGCCACATTTTCTCTTCGGCCTTGTGACGGGAAAACCAACGATTCATCATAAGCAAAACAATGCAATGAGACAAAACAGACTTATTGACCCAAAGAAAGATAGAACTGAAAAAAGATAGAACACTAATTTACCACCAATGCAGTAGGATCTTATCTTTATTTTTTGGATGTTAGTATATATGACCATGGTTTTTGAACCGGCAACGGTAATGGCACTAGGGTGAACTAGCCTCCATTGCGTCAGCACCACGCATGTTGCCTTGATGACAAGGTGCCGAAACGGCCGACACATGTTGCATGTACTATAACTGATACTATAAGTGGTATAATTCCAATTGCCACATCCAACTAGTTCTTCAATTTTCCCACATGTTGGGATTGGAATATCACCCTGACACGGTGGTTGCTCTTCAATGGTTGTTATATGTGAAATCGTGCAAACATTGTTTGCAACAAGCGAGCATTAATTGTATGTACTCAACAGATATACCAGTACAACACCTGATTCCCAAAATGGAAAGTCGATGCACCCTCTCCCCTAATCTTCCCAATTAAGAAAAAGTAGATGTTCCCATAGTTTCCTATGATGTCCTATGATTTTCACATTAAACCCGCCATTTTTCAGATTCCTTCCACACCACGTCACGGAAGGCTCCCACCGCTCGACAGTCTCCGAGGTTGGCCAAGTGCAAGGTGCAGTTGCACAAGACGCCCTGCGTAGGTGCCGCAACTTTCGCACTGGTGAGGCTAGTAGTTATCATCTATCTATAGATAATGCTAGTCTGAATTCTATAGATAAAGCAATACTATCTATAGTCTATAGATAATACTACCTGTAGAGATCTATAGTCTACAGATAATACTATCGACAATTATCATGATCACCAGAGGTTTTAAGCGAAACTTGAGGCTCCAGCGACCAAAGCAGTGCTGCCAGTGCCATTGTCGCCAATGACATTCCGGTAATGAAGTTGTTCCTTCCAAGATTTCGCCACTGCTCTGTTGTTTCACTTAAAATCAAAGCTCCTGCTTATGGGCTTTCTTTATTATAGTTGTGACCACACTCTTATCAAAGCACAGAAAAGCGGCAATTCTTTGCAAGTCCTTGTCGAAAGCCGCAAAGGCAGTTTCCAACGAAGCATTGACGCTCCTCAGATTCAACTCATCTCCCCCCATCTGAATCACAGCATCACGAAAGCTACGATCTACAGCAAACGTCAAGTGCAACAAGCATGAATCATGCCTCACAAACACAAGTTGAGTTACAACCTCTTTGTATGTCCTATGTTCATTGTGTTATATGTAATACCCTCTGGTGAACTAACATAACTATGGAAAATCACCATTTTATAGCTGGGTAAATCCACTATTTCTATGACCATGTTCAATAGCTTTTTGTATGTTTACCAGAGGGTACTACCCACAACATCCAGGGGGACAGTCCCTGCAAGTTGCCCAGGATCTGATTGGCCCGCAGCAGGCGCCGGTGCAATGATCGCGCCAGCCAACTGGAAGTCCAATCGCCCCCATGACCATCGAAGATGGCCAGGTAGCCAGCCTTGCCCGAACCCGGAACCAGAAATGGCTGATTTGGGATGGAATAAATGATGTTTTGGGGTAACATCTAGATGGATTTATTCTTAAATGATCATTTATTCAATGACAACATCTAGCTGGTTGTTTTTTAAGGTAAAATGATATAGGGAATGAATTTATGCCAGTTTTGTTTGGGTTTTGTAAAAAAAAATAAGGAGCCTCGAAAGGAACATTTGAATGCTTACTGGATGCGTCTTGCGAATTTTGCAGAAAACATGTGTCAGTTCCGGCCTGTCCACCGTGGCAGGAGGCTGAGATGTTGTGAATGGAGTGTCTGTCCTTTCCGTGGCATCCCACCAGCTGACCCAGGGCTGGAAACACCGCGCTCCTCCATGTCTTTCCGTCTGCCCACATCTTCATCAGATGCCACATGTGTGTAAAGCCCTGGCGAACTGCACGACAGATTATCCGGTGTTGATGACTCTATGCTGTTAGATGGTGTTACATTATGTTACATTCCAAAATTGACTGGGAATCATCATCCAACTGGGAATCCCCAGGACCAAACAGCTTCTGCCAACACACCGCACAGCCTGGGCAGGAGGAGCTGATCGTGTACTCTCCAGCAAAGGTGTCGACTGGCTGTCAGATTCAGAGAGTTTTGAGATGGTTTCTGGCAGTCCGAGATTCCTAAACAACTTTTCAGGTCTACAGAATTTTGGTCAATATTTGGAGGTTTCCTGAAATGGGGGTAACCGAGTAGCTGGATGGTTTATAGTGGAAAATCCTGTTTAAATGGATGATCAATGGAGAAGCTGCACCTTCATCATCGTCCCATTCGGCCAACGCTCCGTCCGTTTCCTCAAAGCCCTGGGGATTTTAAGCACCAACCAGCTGATGGCAAGCCAATCACAGCACGATTTCCTTGAATGATTCAAAAATCACATAAGAAACATGAAGGGCACATATATTGTGAACTATCATGACCAGGAACATATATTATGAAATTGTAGCATCATATAGTCTATTATTATTGTTATTGTTATGAAAATGAATATATATATATATATATATATTATACATACATACATATATTATGAACTCTTATGAACATATGAGCGTGCAGCATCATGAAATCGGGGTCCGGGGTACCAAGTGTTCACCCAGCACATCACATGATACGACGGATACGTTCTCCCACCTCACTCCAGCTCCAATCCTCGGACCATCCGCTGAGTGCGCCTGCAACTTCAGCTCTCAAAAGTCTGCTTTTCGGGCGCAACTGCTTTAGCACAGCAAAGTCAGCAGATTTCTATGTCCCACCTTCAGTTGTCTCATCATCTACTTGCATGTTCACCTCCTGAATAGCGGGAATGGTTCAGAATGATAGAATCCACGTTAAATGATCGCTTGTCACCCTGGTTCAGCCCTGTTTCTGTCAACTTGACTACACCCATTCGATGCCCTCTGCTCGTGTCATCATCGGACCTGCACTTCATCTTCCCTTGATGCCTCAGTTGCCAAGTCAAACCTTCAATCTGTTGCATCCGCGCATTGGAAACCCAAATCTCTCGCGTCACATCCACTTCTCAAACCGCCTACAAGTGTCTCCTTGTTGGGTATCCTAATTGCCTAGTTCATACCGAATGGTCTGTCCCCCAGTGGGAACATGTTGGAAAACGATTCACCTTCAAAGCATCCCCGATCCCCGCCTTGCCAAGTCCACCTCCCGCGGATTTGAAGACTCGAAGCGGCGGCAGATCGACGCCATCGTCAAACCAGGGGTGCTTCAAGGCATCCTGTGGCATCCCGGCTGTGCTGTTGGTCATTTTCCAACAAAATCATGGCCAAACCACAAAGGGTCAGTTCTTTTTTCGAGCTTGGCGGTGACAGCTGTGTGAGGTCCACAAACTGCCACCCAATGACAATTGTGATTACAAAAGAAGCCCTGGATTCCGTAAATGTACACTTTACATCACTTTACATCACTTTACATCACTTTACAGGCTTTACATCACTGTACACCGGCGCCTATCCCGCCATGAAGTCGCATCGAAATGTGGTTTGACTGTTCTACAAATGTCATGGTAAAATTTCTCGCGTCTTTCCATCCTGGTTTTGCTCTGTTGTGCATTGCTCGCATCCTGGAGTGTTTGCCCAGGTGGGCCTTGACACCCATTCACACCAAGTGTCGCACCCTTGGATGGCGTTGACATTGCCATCGCCGCAGCGTTGGCAGTCAGCTGTGTACTGCCAGGATGGGGATGGTACCCAAACACACCAGCTGGCGCAAATGGCCGTTGGGGAGTTATTACCCCAGCCACCACTGCATGCAGGGACATATTGCAATGAACCGTAGGGAATCCACTGACACCAGCTTGGACTCGCAGACTTTGTGGCGACAAAAGCGACGGGTTGGACCTTTGAAGCTCCCAATGGCCGTGGTGCTGGTGCAGCCTTTGCCGATGGCACAGCGTTCGACAACTCTTGTTCACAAGAGGCGCAGTCTGGGGCGTACTGCCAAGCTGGTCGGGCAACATGTTGACACCAATTTGCACAGGTATCGGAGCTGAAGGTGGAGTTCAGGACCTGGTTGGGATACAGCTCCTGGCATCTTTGGCACTGTGGAGTGTCTTGCCAAGACGGAGCTGGCACCCACTCACACCAGCTCACGCATCCTTGAACTTGGTTCGACTGTGAATATCCACTGCACTCACCAACGTACTGCAACGAGCCATCCGGAACCCACTTGCACCAATCCGGATTTGCGCTGGTGGTCTGGAGCCCAAGAAAGAGCACAACCGACAGCATCTGTGCCATGGCGCGAGTGTCAGGCGGGCAGCGAAGGCAAAAACTACAAATACATTTGAGCAAAAATGGCAAAACCAGGGGTTTCAATAGCACAAGAGACGGTTTTCAATAGTATATCATCACTGTTGGGCCATACCAGCCATAACATTTCGCAACCTGCCTGGGCCTGAATCCTTTCGTTGGGATCCCATTGCAACAAGCGCCGCAGCAAATCGCGGCCCGCGGCATTTGGCAAACCAACTCCAGCCGCGTCCTGCCATCCACTTAGACAAGGATTATCAAGGATTTCACCAGCAATGATCAAAAATTGGGATGAACCAACTGAACCAACCAAACATAGCCCAATTTTTTCAGCACTCAGTTGGATTCAGCGCCTCCAATTTGCTGAACAGCATTGAACAGCCACAGTACTTGACCATCCTGTAACTTGCTTCATTTGCCCAAACCATGATCCCCCCCGTTGTTTGAGCGTCCTGTTGGCGAAGCCGTTCCGCAAACTCAGCATCAGAGCACTTCTGTCCACCCGCCTCAGGTGGTATCCGCGATTCAAAGCATTTGTCTGAGCGTGTTCAGGTTAGACTTAGATCAAACTTTATCCATGGTTGCTACGGGTTGATGTACATGTCATATACCTGTGATGCTTTTCCTTTTTCGCATCTGTCTGCCCAGCCTGGTCTTGTCTCATCTCAGCTTATGTTCTCTTATTTTCCACAAGTACATTATATACACATGTCACATACTTCTCATGAGTGTATTTTTTTACATGTACATAGACATATACATGTACATAGACATATACATATACACATACACATTTAATCATAAAATCATAAAATCATTAAATCATATAATCATCCTAAAGTAGATAGAAAAAAAGGATTGTCAAACATCTATTTCCCATTTCAATACTGGACTGCGCCACGCCACGGGCACGGACAGCTCCGGCTCCGACTTCAGGAACCAGAGCAGGGGCGCCGTTGGGGCAGCGTTGGGCCCCAGACACAGGTCCAGCAAGGCCAACAGCATGCGGCCTGGCCGTGGCTGGGAAATCCATGGAAAAAATGGTGGATTTTCCATGGGTAAAATCATGGAGAAAATATGGGGAAATCCATGATCCACTAGAAATGGAGGTTAGTTGGGAAGATCTTCCAGAAATGGAACTTTGAATAGGAGCTTTGGGTATGGAGCTGTGTAAATTCATCGACCTAAATAAAGACTTCTTCTGGCTAGCCATGGAGCTGATTCTGATTTTGAACTAATGTTTTAGGGATTTTCCAGCCATGGAACTGATATTAACGGAGGGTATGTCCTACAAAAATGGTCCCAATCAAACACCTGCTTTTATTTGGTGGGTATAATGGGTAGCATGCCGACAGACATTGTCAAATTGAGAACGTGAACAGATGTGTCTCTCGAAAAGTAGGGATATCAATACCCAAACACTTGGATGCTTTTTGAAATAGAACATGAAATGGTGGAATTCGACAGAGGGGTCTCAAGATTGAAACACAAGCCTGTGCTTCGTGCTGCTGCATTTGTGGAACTTAGGGAAACACATCCATTTTGTGGCGAGTCCCTGGGAAACACGCAACGCAAATGAATTGGTCACTCCATTTTGTTGGATTCGCTTAGATGTGGTAAAAAAAAAAAAAACTCAGACTCACAGACTCACAGACTCAACCTCCTGTCGGTGCAGCTAGCGATAAACAATAATATCAATAACAAAATAACCCATTTCATCAGGCATTTCTGGGTCCCTGAATCCACACAGGCCATGGGATTTTCAAGTGCTTTGATGAGAATTTCAGGGCCCATGCGGCACCTTGTCCAATGCGCTCTTCCGGAATATGCTCCTTGCCGAGCCTCCAGAATTCAATCCCCCAAAACTCGTTGGGGATCATTTTGGAAAAAAGCTGGTAAAATCACCAAACAACAATGCCCGATCTACCCAAGTTTGCCATTTCGGGGATTTTATGGTAAAAGCCTCGGACGAAATGACGGGAATTTCCAGCAAGTCATGGAGGGTGACAAAAAAAAAACTCTGGCAGATCTGGTAAACTAACATAACTATTGAAAATCACCATTTTTAATAGGGAAATCAACTATAAAATCTATAAATGGCAATTTGCAATAGATGTGTTAAATTACCAGATGGTAAGTTCCTCCTTTTTTTTGGACGTTTTTCCCACAAAAACACTCCATCCACAAATCAAGTCATGGCACTGGAACTCCTCCTTTAGCCACCGGCGATCATCCACATGATATAAATCCTGCTGGCATCTGACCCCCACCATGGGTCACCATGAACATCTTCAAATACGTTCTCTCAACACCACAGCCTCAAGTGGGCATGGGTCAAAATTTGGGTACACAAACTTAGATCTCCTGTAAAGTTACCACTAGAATCACTAGAATAACATAGAATAACTAGAAAGTGTCAAAATCTGTGGTCTCCTGGAAAATTTGACCCATCCCCAAGACATCGATTTTCATCACCGATCGCTGTCCCGCGTACCGAGAACCAGCTCCAAGAGCAACACGCCCAGGCTCCACATGTCGTAGCTGCGGTTGTGCCAATGGTCAGGACTGGCTGCAAGACCCACACGTCGCAGCAGCATCTCATCAAAAAGACCTGCAGCTGGGGGGTCTGCTTTGAGGTTTGGGCAACACCAAAGAAAAATAGTAATAAGCTTCACAAAGATCCTTCACTTGCCACTTGCTGAATCATCTTTTCGCAGCAATGGACAGTCGCTATAAGGCAGTGGTGATGGAATCAAGGCTCAAAAAATATCCAACGAGACTGCGACACAGAACCATTGCAACTGGTTTTCAGCACCCAGCAATTGATTGCTCCATGTTGCCACAGAACTGCCCAAGAGCCTGCTTCAGGCGGCTTGTACTCGCTGGTTTCATCATCTTCAGTGGGTCCTTCCTTGGAAACTTCAAAATTTAGAAATAAATTCCGAAACCAATCAACACATCTGATTCTTTTTCAGCTGGCTAGTGGGCTGTCAAGTTGAGTTGAGGATCTGGTCCATACAATTTCCGCACATCCTGCACCAGGGCTGCAAAGGGACAAGCTCGAAAGTCTCTTCAAGACTTCGTGCAATGGCAAGACTTGACATTTGGATACATTTGGCATTGATCAGACACCACCTGCAATTGAGACCTTTATTGAAAGGGTCATCTGCTCAGCTCCCTTTCCACCCACCTTTCGCACCTCCGTTGGCGGTGCCTTCAACGCACTGCCAAAGTCTCCCAGTCGGACAATCGGAGGCCACGTGTCCGTCACGAAAACATTGGAACCTCGACAAACCGCGCAGGTGACGCACCCAGCCATGGTCAACTCAGAACTTTTACAGCCAGCAGGCATCTCAACGTGGCACAAATGGGTTTGACTGAAAATCTTGGGGGACAAAAAAATATCACTGGTTGATCATAATGTTCCCCATTCAATGGGACCAATGGCCAAAAATTGGGAGTACCAGCAGACAAACCCACATGGCAAACTACAAGGAGGCGAACAAGAAATCAGGCCAGGGACCCTTCACATCTCTGTGCGTGATGTTTGCTGCATGAGCGACTGCTAGGCCTGCGCTCCGGAAGAAGTGGGCGAAAGTCACTTCTATCGCAAAGTCTCCCCAGAGGCTAGAGGAGTTACACAATGTCAACCCTGGATGAATAAACCCCTAGGCTGTTTCATTTGGGGGGGTGCCATTTAAGTATCAGACTATCACCGGTATCCCATAAATTAAGAAACCACCAGTCACAATGTCAATCCAGGGTTGACATTATATTGAAATATCTACCGGTCACAATTTATGTAAAGCCTCAAAAAAAACACAGATGACATTTTTGGAACTATATAAACAAACTAAACCCAATGGAAACAGACCACACTTCTCTCCATCATTGGCCTTGAAGGAGCTGGTAGGCAAAGTTCTTGATGACTTGTCCACCCCATGGCAGGCCCTGTTTCACCAGCCACCAAAACGTGGAGCGCTCCACCACCTGTCGACTGAGATCAACATGGCATTTTTTGCCATGGAAAATAGGTCATTGAACCATACAGGGATGTGTCAAAACCTACCTTGCCATTTTTTGGGGCTGAACATCAGTTAGCCACCTATTCATCCTATTCCATCCTATTCTGGGGTTCATTGGGGTACTAAGGTATTTGCTCATAGCCATATTGAAACCACCAAGAAGTCTCTTCCAGCCATGGGGAAAGATTCGCAGAGCCACACCTGCGAGCCCGGCTGCGTCTTGAAGAGAAAGTGAGTCAAGGAAAATCCTTCGTTCTCAAAGACCAGCCACAGCTCCTTAGTCAGAGACTCATCCACCAGGCAGGTCACCAAACCCCCTTCATTTCACACCCAAGGACCCAAGGTAGTTTTTGGATATGGCTATTCATCAACCCTTCATCAACCCTTCATCAACCCATCAACACAACGGTGCCATGTCCTGCCAGGTCTCCACTTGTCGTCTGCCGTCCTCTGGAAGGCTCACTTCTTCAAACGATTCCAAGAACCTCTTCACAGCGTCCGGGTCGAAACAGAAAACTCCGGCGGCTGGGTGAGTCTAGGCCAAATTCCAAAATCGGGAGATGCGACATGTCATACATTGTATGCATTGGATGAGATATGGGGATGGAAGCAACCAAGTTGGAGAATTCGGGGATGGGGATAGAGCCATCATCCGGCTGAGCCAGTCCAAAGAAAATTCATCGGGATCAGAATCTTATCCTTGGGGACCAGCCAGCAACACCCTGGACATCTCCACTAAGTCACTATGATTGCCTCTGCGGCCCAACCCTTCAACAACTTCAATAGAAGCTGCAACCTTGCGATGTGATGCCGGTGTTGGAGGATGGAGCCGAAGTAGATCTCCCTCTCACCACTCCTGCAGTGCAATGGAGCGCAAAGTGTCACAGTGAAACGGACTGGTAGATCTTCGCTCCTCCGAACGTGCTCGCCCTTTTCAACGAACAACCGCTTCAAGACAACTTCTTTCATGGAGCCATCCAGTGTAACTGCACGCCATGCCTGGTGCTGCGGCAGCGACAGCACTAACGAACTTTAGGAAAACAGCACGGATGTAGCCACGAACCAACTGATGCATCAGGTTGTCTGTGAGTTTCCCGAGGAAATCCAAGTCACAAGAGTGCTCATACAATTCTCCTCTCCTAAACATGTGTTTTTTTCTGTCAATGTACTGAATTATTGGAGCGGTCCTACCTAGCCAAAATTGTCCGAATTTCGAGGCCTTACAATTTCTTCAGATCATACAGAGCCGAACCCTGACCATGTCATGCCACTGCCTCTCCAAAAGAGCCTTTTCCCAGACGCTGTCCAAAGTTGTACCGAAAGGTCGCCTCAGTTTGCGTTTCAGGCGCAAGGCCTGGGTTGGGAAACCTGAGAGACTGCGTACACTTGAGATGTGAATCGGATTCGAGGAGCATCATGGTAGAGTTGGTGACGTTGCAAATGAGAGACTGCATATTCCTCAGTGCACAGGAAGTCGGTTTACAGCATCTGTTGAAGACCTTGAAGTAAAAAAAAAATGCGGAACATATATTATACGTACATGCATATATATTGAATGTATTGAAATTCACCAGTCAAATTGGAAAACCAGTGCTTCCTCCGACTCCAATGTTTTGAGCTTGCAAATTGTAGTCCAAATGTCAAGTGGGCGAGGAGTGGATTGCATGGGTGGAACCAAACAAACGGGAAAAATATAGAAACAAGATTTCAGTCGTCTACAATGTATCTTTGGAGAAAAATGTGTTCAACCCAATCATCGTAGATCGCTCGAACCTAGCTGATCCAACAGTACCAACACTGATATGACCACAAGCGATGCCAGCTATAAAGTTTGGTCCCATCTCCAGTCACCAAGCTGGTGAATAGAGATTCGCTCATGGATGATCCTCAGAATAATGGATACTCTCTGGTAAACTAACATAACTATGGAAAATCACCATTTTCAATGGGTAAATCCACTATAAATCACCATTTTCAATAGCTATGTTTAGAGGGTAGTACAACCCCCCAACCAATGGACCAATCATCAACCGGGCTTGAACGCAGCCAGCGTCGTGCACAGCCGGCAGAAACTGCAAGCGAATCTGTGGATGCGGAAGGTCACTCGCAATGGCCGCGGCCAAACCCTGACCAAAATGAAGCTGCCAGGGATGGCTTTCCGGGGGACAAAATCATCCCATGTTGCGCCCCAAAAAAATGAATAGATCCAGTCTAAACCAAGGGTCGTTTCGGGTAGTCAATATATATATATATATATATCATTATATATATATGTGTGTGTGTTAATGTTAGGGGGAAGGGATCATACCTTTGGCCCACAAACCTGAAGAATCGTTGACTGAAGTGCATCAACCACATCAGTCGACCAAACATCACACCCTTCCTTGTGCAATCAGTCGCAATCATGTAACATGAGATGATATCCTTAAACCATTCAGATCCATTCAATCCATAGATTCTCGGTATATCCCCATATGATTAGTTAGGGAAATTTACGAACTCCGCAAAAGACAGGCTGAATAACGTGTAACTTAAATACCAAATATCCATGCCCCCCGCATACAACCCACCCAAGAGTCCCGTCTCAGCCTCATAGGGTATCACTTGCCCCTGCCATTGACCATCGTCCAGTAGCAGCCTGTGCCAAGTGGAATCCAAGGCGCATAGTGCTGAAAATCTAGCAACAAGAAAGAATAGAATAGTAAAATCCGATTGAAGTACCAATCATTGGTTTTTAGTATGTTTTAGTTGTATCCCTTGGACGGGTTCTTGTATCGCAGATTTTGCAGCGATGGTTGATGGTTGATGGTCAAGTCCACGGAATCGACCCCCTGAAGGCACCGCTGAAGTCCATGAATTTGTCTTGGGCGGTCAGCTTGGGAGATACCGTTTTGTACGTGAGAATCTCCAGCGCGGATTGAAACAGTCAAACCCTTGCGTCCCTTTCTGCTGTTGATACCTTCCAAGTAGCCTGAATGGATGGAGAATTCCCAACCCCACAAAAAAACACCAACAAATGGGTGAAGTATGGTGAAGTACGATGAAGTTACCAAACCTCTCAACAAGACATCCCAACCGTTCCACCCCCCACCTCTGACTGGGCAAAGGCAATGCCAGGTGCTGCGGCTGAGAAGTCGATTCAGGGAGGCGGCAGACTTCGCACAGCTTCTCAGCTAACACGTAGCGTCCCTGCCCAACTACTGTACCTGGCAAGCCCAGGTAAGCATATATATATATATGTATATATGTCTTTAGACATGATTGGCAAGACTTAGAAACATGTTGAAATTGGATCGTTTCAAGGTTTCATAGTTTCATGCAAAAGGTGACCAAAATCTGTGATTCCCCCCAAAAAAAAATAGGACCCAAAGCCATTTCTGTTGCTGAAATCCCCATTGTTTCAGATGTTTTTGTCCCCATGGTTCACACCTTGACACACCTTTGACCTGACCTCTTCGGATCGCACCTGGTAGGAGTTCTGAACTGATGGTCCAGCCCAATGGCTGACTCCCAAGGTCCATCGGCATGTCGCCTGCACCTGATGAGTTTTTCGGTCCGCTGGTGGCAAGTCATCAGTGGAGGTTACCACACCTGCTGTCCTCAGCAATGTGGTGAGATACGCGATCCATGCAGACTTCGCCTCAGCTTCGTCAGGGGATGGGATTTCAGGGAAAGTCGGGACCGGAAGCCATGGTTTCTACCACCAAATCCCCAACTTTTGGGGGTTCCGGTTTCTATTGTCACTCAAACCAGGTCTGGGAATATTGTAGATTCTACTTTGATGGTAATTCCTGTATAAACCCACAGAAAGCTGGAGGTTCGAACCATTGCGCTGGCCGTGCCATGCCCAGTCGCTGGCATGACCATCCTGGACATAGGGCCTCTGAAGGGCAGCAGAAAGAACCATATACACGAGTCATTTAGGTTGTAATATACATGTGAAATACTACAAATTGCACCTATAAATACTTTGTGTTTAGAATAAAGTACATGTACATACCACTATGTGTTCGAAAAGTGTTTGTTCTTATTTGTATATAAGTGTTTGTGGCAGCCGCAGTCCCACTTCCAAAGTATAGAAGAAGTGGCATCCAAGACGGAGAATGGCATTGCGTGTTTCTGAGCACTGATATGACTCCCGAACTCGGGAGTTTCCCAGCAAACGAAATCCGTCCAAAAATGCTGACTTGAAAGCACACTCGGCTGCCTGGGCATTCCCATCGCTATTTCACGCTCCTCTATATGGGACAAAGGAAGTGGAACAATCACGACCATGTGCCTGCTACGTGGACTGGCATTGGTTTAAGACGCAGGCTCTGCTCTGTTCTAAGTGCATTCCGGAGTTCTACCAACCAAAATCAGCACATCTCTGCATCATGGAAAATACTCATTGTTCCCAACTGACCTGTAGCCAGCAAGCTGCTCAACGTAAATGCTTAGACGCTTGTGTGCGGCTACAAGATGCAAGCATTCAAGACCAGCCAGACACGTTGGAACAAAACAAGGGACTAGAAAAAGAATGACACAACTGAGTTGTCAGCATGCGTGGTAGTTCTAAAATATGTTTCAAGGGTTTGAAGGAAGAAAATACCGTATCCTGCTCAACGGTCCCCCGTGTTGACGACCTTTTCATCGACCCAGCATGCTGCTTTGCAGCACTGATGAGTTCAAAGCTCCACAGGATCATCGTCCTGTCTACTGTCCCAGCCTTTGCAACGGGAATTGAGGGGTTTTTGATGGATTTTGTCTTGTCAAGAAAGATTGGCACATATGGTTGTGAATAAAGTGGCACAGCCAAAGGCCCAAGTGAACATGTTTGCTGGCTTAAATGGATATTCATCATTGTTCATCAATGTTTCCTTCTGACTTTGCGATGGGTTTTGACCCATCTAGCCTCCAAAGACATATCGCAGGGGCTCAACCGGCTGCCTTTCTATGGCTGCTTGCATGAATCCTGGCAAGCCGGGGCAGCATGGGCACTCCTAAGCAGCAACCTTGTGACTGAATCTATCACTTGGGTGTATCTGACATTTGGGTATACCCCGTTAACCCCCCCCCTTTATGGCCAGCTAATGGGGGAAAGGATGATATTTGAATTGGGGGTAGCCCACTTTCAAACAACCCCCATTCATCTGCCTCTGAAACCATGCTGTAATGTCATGTACGCGTACGCGGTTTAGGCAGCAGCTGATCAATTTGTCGGCAAGACTTGTATGCCAAGTCATTGATGACCTGACAACAAGATGTGCTCCATGAACTGTTCTGGATCATCGTCAAGCACTTTACCCCACATTGACTTCGACAGGATTCGACAGGAATCAAAAGCACTCTGCGACACGAAAAAGTTGGGTGAAACACTTGTTGATTGCCCTCTCCACAATGTTAACCCCGAATTTGTACCACCATTAGTAAACTGGGTGATTTAAGTTAACATTACCAAAAACAAACTTGCGTCACCGTTGATCAAGCTCGCCAGCCTTCATCTTCTCAACGTTTCGTCTGAGGATTTGTACAATCATCGAAGCTGCCGTCCTCGGTTCTGTTTTCAAACACCGTCAAAGGGGCTGATAATACAGAATGACAGTCGGGTTTGCCCAAATTTAGGTGGGACCATCCCATGTATTAATTCTGCGGAAGGGAAAAAGAGGAGAAACCACCGGATTTTAGGCGATACCCCAGTCTTGGACCCTAGGCATCCTAGGCATCCGACCCCTGCTGACCGATGAAGGTTGGAATGTCATTCTCAATCTCACGCAAATGCGCCTTTTTGAACGGAGGCAATGGTGAGAGCGCCAGTCCAATGGGGCCGTCAAACTCAGACAATCCAAACTTGCTTGGTTGCCAAAACCGCCAAAACCAGTAGGTCTCAAAATCTTAAAAATTCTAACTCAACACCAGGTTATCCAGCACTCCTCTCATTGGCTTGCAACTGATTTGCTGCTGTTCCCTGGGTCAAGTGAAGTCTCCATTGGGTTGTATGTTCACAATGGTTGACAAATGGCTGTCCCTTTTTTCCCGCATAGATGTTGATTTGCAAGCAATGCAATCTTTCTTACCTCACACTCATGGGAGGCACAAGTTATTTCACCTACCCATTCTTTCACATCCCCAAATAAAGACACCAGTAGCTATCCAAAAAAAATGCTCATCACGAATGATACCCCCCAAAAAGAATGACTATAACAGTATAACAAGACACACAAAATCTCCACCTTCCGTCGCGAGTCGCGCCTTGGTCAGCTCCAGCACTGCCATACCCTGATCTTCTACTGAGACGCCTTGGGCCTGGGTCATATCCGAAGACTTGGTGAACATGTTGGGGTAAACCGGGTAATGGGTTTCCTGCTGGCGTGATTCCTCAGTGCTGAAACCACATGAAACCACAATATTGTTGGTAGTCGGATGGAAAATTCAATGCAAACGGGGAATGAAACCAACGATGCCGAACTGTCTATCGTTCAAGCGTTGTTTTTTTCAAGCCAGGCAAGACTGTACATAAAGTTGCCAGAACGGCTGAACTGTCCACTCAGAAGCCGAGACGAAATTGCATCACAAGCACGCAGCTGTTGATAGCAAAGGTTACTAAGCAAAGATCCATACAAATCCTGGCATTCAGTTGGGCTGATAGCCCAAGTCAAGAAGGAGTTTCTTCAGCTTTTTCTCGGTAGGTTCAGCAGTCCCCAGTGGGTACAGGCAAAGGCGAACTTCGCGCAACTGGGATGCTGGATGCTGGGCATACTCCGCATGCGCTTTCGCTAGCTCCTCTAAGATCATCTCTTGTGGATTGCTGAAAGCACCACCACCAATCAGAGTCAAACCTTGGGATTTGGGGACCACAGAAGATCAAAAGATTCCCATATATTCCCAATAGATGTCCCATTTCTGGTGGATTTACCCAACTGGGAAATAAAAAATGTACAAAATAAATCAAAATAATTGTCAACAAATCCAAGAAACACAACAAGTGCCGCCCACGGGAGATTGCTGCAAGATAAGCCCCTCGATACGCAGCTCGCAGAGCCGCGCGAGTGAGCTGGAGGAGCTTCTCTTCAGATGGCCTCACACCTGGGGAATTCCAGTTCATTGAAGCCGACAGCACCTGATCGACCAACGGCCTCTCGTCCAAGATTTGAATCCGGTCCCTGAAGGGTGTGCGGCCAAACACCACCTCAGCATCAGAATGGATTCCTACCTGGATCCTTCCCGCGGTTTCATCCATCTTCTCTGTTGGGAGCAGTTCTTCTTCACCAGTGAGTGTAGCTTTTCCATTCACGCAGGTTCCAAAGTAGGCTCTTACATTCTGGAGCAGGTCAACCTGTTGAGACTTGCTTTGTCCCCAGCTTGTAGGCGGCTTGCTGGCATCATAGAAGGCATAGTGTGCGCGCAGCAAGCTGGCCGCTGGAACGCCAAAGGATGCCGCAGGACCCTGGGTAGCATCGATGCAGTACTTTTCCACCAAATTGCCATAGTCCGGAAGGCATCCTCTGGAAGGATTCTCCAGGCAGTTGAAGTTTGAGGCGATTTGAACCATTGCTCTGTCCTCTGTCTTCAACTTTGCTTGCAGCTCTCCAATATCACAACCCTCGATGACTCTGAGCAAAGGCACCCTTTCGACTAGCTCATCATCCCTCGGGATGCTACTGATCTCTTGCTCCAACTCTTCAAGGGTTTTGCGTTGGAATTTGCCAGCTGACCACTGTTGCCCAGTGGAGGAGTTCACAAAGTGGGTGCCATTGAAGGTTGCCTCCCTGCACTGGTGAATGATCTCCCACTCACTGGGCCCAAGAAACCACGTCATCCACTCACGTGCATCCAGAATCTTGGACATGTCCAATGTGTCCCTCCTCTTCTTGCAAGCTGCTGGCACTCTGGCACTGATCCACTGCCCCATTGGTGGATTACTTCCAAAGGTCTTGCGCCAGAATGGCCAAAGGTCTACCATGTGCAGGTCTATGTTCAGCTTGTGCAAACCCTTCTTTTCCAATCTTTAGCAAGTGGATGTAATAAATATATATATATATATATATGTATACAGTTATATATATATATATATTGCCATTGATCGAATCAAAGCTGCTAAGTTTTCATCAGTTTCCTGCTTTCCGCCATTTTCCAGAAATAAAAGAGGTGCATCTTCAACGTCCTGCCAGCAGTTTCACAACAACTTTGTGCCTTCAGCATCTTGTCGAAACTGCAGTCGTTGATCCGCTGGATGACATCCGCCGTCTCAACAGCGTTGACAAATGGAAAAGGAACAGCGATGCTGGCAAACTTCAGGTATAGTTGGTATAATGGTATATAATCAATATGTATATATATATATAGATATATATATATATATAGATAATATATATACGTATATATAGGTAAATAAATACCTGAAAAAATGGTATAATGAGCTTTTGATATAATTTACCATGGTTTGAGCTTTTGGTATAAAATGGTATTGCCAAAATAATTCTAAAGCTCAAACCTTGGTAAATTGGAGGGTGGCTCGAATAACTCGAATACGTAGCTTCACCTTCAGTGTTTGCAGTCAAGTCCTGCCATTTCTCCAAGTGCCTGAAATTTGAAGACACTGAAGGTAGCCCTTGCTGCTTGAAGGATGTCCCAACCTAACAGTCAACCAGAAAGCTGTGCCTTGGATTCTAACGTGGTGCGGTGCACCAACGACTTGACCTCAAGGCACATTCCAGCTACAATTTGTCAGAATTGTGGGAAGCTGCACCCACCAAGTTCATGAAGTTGCCAAGTTCTCTGCACAGTCTCCTGCAAAGATTCCCTCCACTTCTGCATTCAACCAAGCTCTGGACTAAGCGGTACAAAGACGTTGTTTCGCTCGGCTGCACCTCAGCCGCTACACCGGCAAGTCACCTTGTCTCTTCTCCAAACCAATGAAAAACTCGGTAAGGGTTCACCTTCTGCAAAGCATTTTTTCCTTCACTTTCAAAGGAATTTCATACATGGGATGCGTCCTGTTCCTGTGACTTCTCACATTCAGAGGGCGTGTCTTCCTGGTCATCTGCTTCAATCGGATCAAGTTTTTCAAACTTCGGATGTCAAAGGATGCCAACGCGCGTCCGGTCCCTGCACATTCAAGACTCCCAAGGGAAAGCTCCAGCTGATCTGACTGCAAGGGATTTCGTTGGGGCGGGTCATCTCTCCACATACAAGGGCCCCAGCACAATGGTCTTGCACCCACTTCACGATCTCGTGGTTGAGATTCTCACAGGGATGAATCAAAGGCAGAACAATATATATCATATGCTAAGCTGCTAAACCCGACCATAAACCCCAAGTGGGTATAGTTCATTACAAGCTCTAGATGGCAAAATTGAATTTTATGGCGCTTTATCCTTTTGAAGCTGGAACACCAACTGGCTTCCCGGTTTCAGCAGCTCTGTCCTTCGCGTCTGCCTTGTGCTCGGGGATCTCCAGGACTGCCTCCTTGCGAAAGTCTCGGGGGTTCGAGAAGGTGTTGCGCTTGAAATGGGAAAGTCAAAGCAACAGAATATCATAGAAATGTGCTGCCACTGTCCTTGTTTTCTTGTTTTTCCCTGGTGGTTCATGGAAAACATCATCCTTTTCTATCTGGTTTCAGAAGCTGTAACCACTTCTATCCCAAGAAAAGGTCCTGACATGTTCCAGTCGGCACAGCCTGACCACCCGGTGGTCCCGTCCGTCCTCTCCACTCGCCAGCTCGAAACGGGCATGGACCAGGACGCCGGCCCTGGGTTCCTCCAGCCGAACCTGCTAAGATTTAAAAAGGCCATAACGGGGGGTACATCCTATTTTCACACACCCACATCTCAGCACTTGCAGCTCAAGTCTCAGTGCCTTTTTAATTCTGCTGAAGCTTTTCGTTGGACCCTCAGCATGCAAGACATGGAAGCAAATCAAGGCAATCCAAGGCTGTAACGCTTCCTCAGGTCAATCTCAAAATTCTTCAAAACAAGTTGGTGAACGGTATCAAGTGAGAAGCATGACATCACAAAAACAACCATCTCATGCCATGTGTTTCTTATGTCACATCCTCAGCGTCAGATCTGCTTCCAAGTAGCGTCCACCTGGTCTTTTGCCACGGTCACCTCCAAAGCACTCATCATGTACCTTCACCCGCGCTGATACCCCAGATGGATGTTGCCAAATGATGCCAAATGCGATGGAAGCTGGTGGGTGATCATGATATATCATGATACTAAGCCCCGATCCCTGAGCCAAATCCCAACTCCAAGACAAATCACCAGGGTCTGCACCAGGGCGCACCTCAGGCCCGTGTCCCAGTTGTCACGATCCTGCAGGAGTCAAGTTAGGAAGTGTCAGACATGCTGGGAGATGAAGGTGGAGAGTCACTTTCTCTTCCCGACTTCTTGTGAAAACAGCCTAAGGCTTAAGATTTCTGTGGGAGAATGTTGCTTGCAAAACGAGACATGATAATATCTTCCGCTCAAAGCAATGTCACCCAAACAGCATAGCTGGCATAGCTGGATTTCCTCTATTCAAGACATGGTTCCAATGACACCCCAGATTTCCGTCGCCTCAACCCGAGTGAATTGGATGATCATCTCCTCCTCCTGGAGTGTGGTGTCCATTTGTAAAACATCCAAATCCAAATGGTCAAGTGTCATCCCAACAGAAGAATGGAAGAAATGGTGAAATGAGATATGTCCATCAAAGAATCTAGCATAAATATATATATATAATTTATAATATACAGTAATATGTATATAATATATGCATGGTCCCAAGCCGCCACTTGCTGGATGAGATCTGCCTAAGAACTTGTCAATCGAAGTGATCCATCCGAGCTTTCCATTCACCTACATTGCGCTCCTCCAACGGCGGCACGTCGCTGGTGTCCAAGCCATCCTCCTACATGAAGAGGTCATAAGCCCATCAAAATCCCACGTGTTCCCATCTCATAGTCATCTCATTCTACCAGTAAATAGGGGCTTGTCATGCTGAAAACAATCCCCTATCAGCTAGTATAACTCATATATATATATTATATATAACCCTATAAACATCTATAAACCAACAACCCGAGTTGATCTTGAGTGGCCCAGACAAGAAAATCTCCAGCCTCGGCTGCTGTGTCCAGCTTCTGGCGAAGGATCAAGACCTCAGCATCCACAAATGGTGGTTTATATGGGTGGATATGGTGGATAAATTTCTCATAAATTATCCACAAATGACTACAAATTATGTGGACATTTTGGTGGATTTTCCACATCTATGCCAACGTTTACAGAAGTGTAAGAACATTGGGTGACCTCAATCTGAACTCCAGTTGGCCAAGTCAATGGCTGACACAATTCGAAGTTTGGCCGTCATTCAGTATCAATGAACACCAATTATGGGTATGGAAAAATATAGAAATCCCCTGGTTTCAAACCTCATGTTCCATCCTTTTTCCCATATTTTCGTGCATTTTCCCCATCTTTTCGGGTGCCTTTTGATCGTTTCGGTTTTTGGTTTGTCGCTCCGCAGCTGGGCCACACAGTTCACGCGGGTTCCTTCGATGTAATCCATGGCCTTCACAGTACTGAGGCAACTCAGCTTGATGACCTTCGTAGTCCTCGGATGACATTCACCAGTAAACATAGGGCAATGAGAATTTTATCCACCATGGGCCCATGGTCCACCATGGGCCCGATAAAATGTTCACAGCTTTCCAGGTTGGTGAAGAGATTCGATTTCTTTGTTGCTTTCCACATCGAAACACCATGGAAAATCCACCATGAAATCAAAGGAAAAATCAAACGAAATCAGTAAGAGATCAATCTTATCATCTTATCCCCTGCCAACGGCTAGGTATGTTGAATGAAATTGACCATCTGACCCCGAAGGGCTGCTGAATCCGAACCAAGACTCGATTCATCGCTTCCAGAGGTCTCAACCTCCACTGTTTGCATGTCCTCATTGTAGAACAAAGTTCCCTTCTGCAAGATCAAATTCGTGGAGGTTCGATATTTGATCTTCACCTGGCAGAAAAACAACAAAACTGGCAGGCTTACGGTTTCCCCGTGATGTTTCGTGCAAGGCCGGTTGAGGCTTAGCAAAGCATCAAACCAGCCAAGTTCATCATGAAGCCTCCCGACTGAGCAGTTCTGCATGCGCCATCAAGTGCGACGTCCCAGTGCCATTTGTCCTACGTTGATCAGAAACGATCTACAAACCCCAAGACTTTCAGAACACTGCTAAACACATCTCAGAATCATATCTTCATCTGCAATCTGTATGTTTCGCCTTTCAATCAGGTCTGAGCTTGGCATCATTGCGAATAGAAGTGCCACATTGATGTTTGCAGCAGGATAGAAAGGAATTGGCTGCATTACATGATGTTGCTAATCAAGTGTGCAGTGTGCTTGTTGTTTTTTCTTGCTTTCAGCCAGATTTGCTTCATCTATCTTCATCTTCACTCAAAAAGATTCGTATTGTCCGTGTTGGAAGCACCATTGACAGGCACAATTCTCCCGAATCCCACTACAGCGGTTTGCTTTTTGCGCAGTTTCTTGCGCTGCTTCCGGCCATATGTACAAACTGCCATGCGATCGTCCCAATTTTCTGGACAATCCCAGGCACTGCCTGACTTCTCTCAGCTAAGGGTTGGAGCCTCAAATGCAGCTGGACAACGGCCTTGCCAACTCGTGTTGGACTTTGAATAAAACACCATCGGTCCTGGTATGTCTTGGTCCACTCTTACCCTTTCCATGCAAACTACATGGTCACCTGGTCCACACTCCCAGATCAAAGTAGCTTCTCTACGACTCTACGCATTGTCCGAAGATTTGGCCAACCAGTCCCAGAGTAGAGCCGTCCCAAACAGCACAACATGCAGCCCCAAAGCGCAACACCGGCATTCTGGAACTCCCGTGTGTAAGACTAAGATGACTAAGCGAAAAATCTTGGCAAAGCTTTTGGTTCGGTGCTCCTGCGAATCTCCAGGGACCCAAACCACTTTGAAGCTTGAGAGATCAAGAATTCGACCAGTCTCATCTCGAAATTCCTGAAGACCAGAGGCTAGCTGTGGTTTGGATGAAAATGATGAAAGCATTTGAGTCAATGAACGGGGCTTCGTCAAACCTACAGTAGTTGCAGCTGCTCAATGGCCGCCGTTGTTGCCGTTCAATTTTACTTACCCAGCTATATTAATATCACTCAAAACCTTTCAATTCAAGGTGGAATAAGACCTGAACAGCAATGACAGCATTTTCTGAGTACTCAAAGCGAACCTTCTGAGGAAAATCTGGGATTAGTGCAGGTTGACTGACCCATCCAGTTCAGAGGGGTCCACACCCAGCCTGAAGCGCCATGTCCCGCTGCTGCTCCATTTCAGCAATCCGCTTTTTAGCCTCAGATGTGCAAAATTGGAGACTTGCCAAATGTGGATACCTCCACGAAAAACCGCGAGATTGTATCTGCTTTTTCGGAAAGAGTGAAGACAATTTTATCAGCCTTTGCTCTTTCTGTCTAAATGCCAATCAGTTGTTTTGTTTATTGGATAAAATTCCCACGGTACAAATTGTCATGAGTCTCTTTAAAGCTAAGCAACTCGTCTCAAGTCCTCTTCCAGCTCTCTAATGTGGCCGTCCTTCCCCTGTGGCGAAATTCATCTCAGGTGATCATCGAACACTCCAAAAATCATCCAATATAGATCGATATTAATCTATCTGAAATCCTGAGAAAATCATCCCAAGTCACCATCTACCAATCTACCCATTACCATCCACTACCAACCACACCCAACCCAGAACCACATCGTGACCGCCTGAATCACCTTCAGCAACTCCTGGCGATCCACCTCCATTCGTTCCATGGAGGCTTCGACCTTGGCGATCTGCTCCCGCTGCTCGTTGAAGCTGTCCTGCACCCCACGGGCCCACCAACAGCACCATGGGGCATGGGAGCTTTCGCCAACAGGGTGGGTGAGAATGCATATTTCTCCAGATTAGATTAGCAATGAAACATGGCAATGGGAAATTTTACCATTTTCAATGGAAAAAATCCATCCGCAAATGGATGTAGACCCGTGATTTTCTGCAACAGTTCACTCGGGAATCTTGAACATCACCGTAACGGAGGGTAGAGATGATCTTCCCAAGGTTATTGGAGATGCTGAAAGTCGTCACATTTCACCGCCGCGGAAATGCCAAAGGGACCTTTTGCGCATGGGGCTTTAGCGGCCAAGCCAATCCGCAAATGAAACTTTCACTTTTTTTCCCATTGCAATTTAAAGCCTTACAGGCACTCAGACAGAAACTAAGAAAAGCGTGCAATTCGCGACAGCAGCTCACATCCGGGTGTCAAAGCACCCCCAATCTGGTTTCCAGCTAGAGCGGAATTTCTTGCCGTCAAGAAAAGAGCTGGAGCAATAGAGGCAAGCTTGTACATATATTGACCAGACATTGGTGGGATTGACAGGGACCAGGTGAATGCCTAGAGCTACCTGACACCGTAACCCAAAGGAAGAGCCTAACGTATTGTTGATAACTGAAGTGTCAATGCCCGGCAATGCCTCAGAGATTAAATCTTTAAGGTAGCGATGACATCGATGTATTAGTCGTCCAAAGCCCATATCTTGGTTAAAAAGGGGAGAAACAAAACCCAACCTTGAGATAAAGTCAATCAAAACAATGGACCACGGGGTAAAAGCAGTGATTGGCGATGTTCCACTGCACCAATACGCTTCGCGCATAAACCGGTGAATGGCATCAGCGCAATGCGGAGAGCTAACAGCTTTAGGTACAGGTGAATTTGAGACATCTAACCCTTGGACAACTGCGGTTCGATGTGTCACCCATTGATTGAATTTGGGATATTGTTGTTTGAGCGCATCCCAAATGCGATTGGGAACGAAAGCGCCAGAGTTGAGCAAGTTCAGGAAACATCGCTCTAACTCCCCTACTACCAATGTAGTTAGACAAGTTCCACGGCACAAAACAGGAGCAGGAGCTTTGCCCCTTATCCTACGGCTTGGTGGGCAAGTGCACTTACGAGCTGTGGCGACTTTAAGTGTAGATAGAGCGCGGTCAACAATCTGATCATGATCCGGTGGCTGGGTTAACAAGTTCCTATTCACAAAGGACTTGATCAAATGAATTTGCACAGCTAGAATACAGTTGACATCACACACGCTATGATCAGAATGTTGTTGGAACTGTCGTTGGCATAAACTCTTAGCTAATGCGCCTGCTTTTTCATTGCCTTCAGTTAAACCAGGGTCTTGACTTGGGTCACGTCCATGAGCTGATACTTTGGATACATGTACTGTTCGATGGTTTAAACTTGTTTCAGCGGCTATGAGTGTCCACAAGTCAAAATTGTCCCAAGAACGCAAAGATGAAAAGCCTTGTGCATTACGACTTTGTTCACGAAATCCTTTGACTATGGTTGCACAATCGGTAAAAATATGGGCGTCTCCGTCTGTTACCTTTAACGCCAGCAAGATCGCTCCCAGCTCGGCTCTTTGTGAACTTTGGTCGAGACCTGGGAGGGGTCTTGCCAGCTGCAATATTTGCGGAATATATACTGAGCAAGCTGCCGACTCTAGTCTACCCGACTTTGAGCGAATAAAACTGCCATCAGTAAAAATTCGGTCGCCCGGTTGGAGTACATGTTTTGGAGGTAAATCGCCAAATTGGAATGGTTGGTCTTGTTGTAAACGGAACTGTGTGTCACGCTCGCTTTCCCATAGAACACCCATGGTCCATGACGTATCCGGCATTTGCACTGAAACTTCCGGCGGCGGATTCGTTGGACAATGTTTGGACATATGCAAGAGATCATCGTCTGCATCGCAATGTTCGCATTTTCGGGAATTTACCAGGCCTGCTTTAAATTTACGGGGCCCGTCAAAAATTGATCCGGCTAAGAAATTTTGGATGATATTTTGGGCATGGTCAAGTTTGACTGGTAAATTCCGCAGTTGTTCTACTAAGCCAGGTGCAGGTACTACAGTGGAGAAGTCGTTGTCGAGGAAAAATCGCGTCGCGAACATATTAATCACACCGTCCCGCGAGTCGCCTAAGTTGTCATGCCTTATTGGGGATCTACGGAAAAGTGAACGCCTGACGGATCGTTCCAAGTCATCGTCGAAAAATTTGTTGCTGCCATAGAGGAGTTTGAAGTCTGTATCGCCCGGCCGTTTGAAGGACAAACCGTCGGCCCATTCCCATTCCAATTCCCGAACGACAGCGGCCAGAACCGCTGGAGCGCCAGAGGAAGTTCGAATGGCATAAGGTTTGATCTGTCGGGCTTGACGAAAAACTTTTGCCACCAAGTCGGGCTGACGGCGGTGTAACTTTCTATATGTGAGCAAGACATGTCTAACCCAAATAGCCCAGCAAATGAAACTTTCACTAGAAAGTCCTGTATCGACTTCCTTGCAGCCATAGTTCGAAGATACCTGGCGTGATTCGCAGGAGCTTGTCTTCCAAATCCGCCCACACCGCTTTGGCGGTGAAGGCGTGCTTATTGGGGGGCAACAGCAACACTAAATGCTCAATGACATTTGTTAATATAGCAGTCGCTATATCAGCTTTAGCTGGGGGGGGGGCCAAAAACGGTTTCGCACCGAGACCAGACCCCAAAAACGGTTTCGCACCGAGACCAGAATACGGTGGTGTTTTCGACATTTTTCGAGGATTTTTGGGTGTCTGAGCGCAAGAGGGTATTGAAATGGAATTTTGGGTCATTTTGGTAGCTTTCCGGCAATGGAAAAACGGCCAAAAATGAAAAAAACATTGTACATAGCAAGATTTTGCAGGGTTTTTGGATGCCAGAGCATTGAAAACACTGCAAAAACAAGTGTTTTGGACTGACGTTATAGCAAAAAACGTGTAAATTACCGTATGCTTGACTGGAAACATTACAAAAACACTGTCAAAAGCAATGTTTTGGAAGGATTTACTGCCTTTATGGCAAAAAACGTGTAAATTACCGTCTGTTTGACTGGAAACATTGGAAAAACACTGTCAAAAACAATGTTTTGGAAGGATTTCTTATTGAAACTTCTTAGCTTGAAGAGCTCCCACGGGGGAAAACCACCCTTAGCCCCTCTCACGGACCGAAATAAACCTGCGGTGTGGGCGGCCACCCCACGCGAAGCGGGGTGAATAATGCGAACACTTCACTGGTCCCACAAAAAAAGAGCGGCAATCGTGGCGGTTCAATTCCAGAGACGTCAACTGGTGCGAAAAAAAGAAAAAAAAACATAAAAAATGGAGCCAGCATCACAGGGTCTCTTTCTTTTGAAGCTCCACCTCTTTGATTTCGTTCTTTTCCTTCTCTGTTTGCAACTGCCTCTACAACAAAAATTGTGTGCAGAGGTCATCTTTTTGGCTCATGGGCCAGTGAAACTGCAAGAATGCTCATGTGTCATGTGTGTCTTCTAAATCCATTGCACACCTTCCACTGCGTTGCATAAGTGGTTCAAACATGTTCCTTTTTTTCTCATTCCTCAAAGCTATCTTAATCTCAAACTGCGCTGTCAGCGCCGCTGCTTTGCAGGCACTGGTACGGCAGCATCGTAGCATGCCCAAAACACATGAAGAATATCCACCTCTTCGCAGGTTCAAGATGGGATCATCTCTTTACAGCCTTTCATACAGGGCAGAATCTACTCACAGACCTCAGGTCATCTTCAATTGCAGCGTCAGCACAGGATCACTTCACCACCTTCAGAAAAATCGTCATCACGGTGATCAACTGCTGCAGGAGTCTCTGGCGCAGGTGCTGCTCCACCCTTCCCTTGGCTGATCAATGCTGCTTGCGTTGCTGCTGAAGGCATGATGAAAGGTGCATCAAGCAGTCTTGAAGAGCTCCATGGAAAACCAGCTCCAGTACCTGATTTTGCTGGCAAATTGCCTCACATTGGTTTAGGTCAGGATGTGGTACTTCCAAAAAATTGGATATGTATAGTTAATTGGACCAATCTCAATTTTCGACCACGCCATATCCAAGTTGTTCACCAGAATGGTATACACGGGACATGCAAAATCGGGTGGTGTAAAACTACTCTTTGATCCCTGTGGTCACCTGTGGTCTGTTAAGTTTGGGTTGCCACCATGGCCCACCTGTAGATAACGAAGGTCGGCAAAAGGGCTAAAGGCACTTGTGCAGTGAGATCGTCAGCAGTAGCAACCTGAAATGTGCGAAGATTCTCATCCCGCTGTGCTGAACTGCTCTGCTCTGAATGCCATGAACCTGAGGCGAAGGCGCGAATGGCTGAAAGCCATGCAAGAAGCGACCCCAGAACCAAAGCAATGCCAAGGACCTCAGATCGGGAACGGTCCGACGATGTTGCTGCCATCCGTCAATCAGCTGTTGGTTCCTTTTTAGAGTCCGTTTTTGTTGGTGAACCCCCCACAAAACGTGTCACTGTAGAGATAAACGAGCACCAAAAGCGAACATCATATAGATAACATTATATAGATACCATATGATAACATCAGCTGCAAAGATTGAACGTTTATTCAACAACACCAGAACCAAAGAAGTGACTGCTCAATCCATCTGCCATGAAACAGGTCTGGGCTTGTCCTCCACCGAGGGATCTGGAGATGTCTTTGCCAACGGGCTTTGCCCAGGCAGGGTGCCGGTCATGGCAGTTTCTTGAAAGGCGTCACGCTGGACGCCCAAAGCCGCTGTGTTTTGCTGCTTTTCCATCAAGTGCTGACTTTAAGTCTCGGCCAGGCGTCAATTCTTGATGTTCTTCCATGAAATGTCATTGGTTTCAGAGTTAGGAAATTGCGCTCCAAGTCCCACGGTTCGATGTGAGCACAACGGCACTGCATAGCAATTTGGGGTGTGACCGCATGGGACTCGGGCCTCTCGACATGACAAGGAGTGTTACAGCACACGAAGATGGGCTTAGGTCAAAATGTTGAACTCTGGAAGCATCTGGGAACCCCCAAGTTTTATCATATTTCTGATAAGCATACCAGTCTGGAGGTTACCCATGTGGGTCAATACTTACCGGACCATCTTTAGGGGGATAAACATCTATCTATTATCATCTATTTGTCCATATTTTCCTATGCAACACCAGGGTAGCAGAGACCCACACTGCACCAGAGCCAAGCCTCTTTGCTCTTTCGAGCTCCTTGCTGATGTTTTCCTTCTCCGCGATGATTCGTTCAGTTTCTTGGACCTGCCAAGAGGCTTCAGGGATATATGGACCAAAACAGCTACAAATCACGGCGAAAGAAACGTCAAAACAGTACTGAACTGTCAATCCTTCAGCCAAATTGTCATGTTCAAGGGAAGAACTGATGTTCAGAAACCATACTTCTAAGTTCAAGTTTGCTTCTGTCTGAAAATAGTGTGTAATTATAATGGATTCTTGCCACGATCCTTGAGAAAATGCCACAACTAGATATAAATAGGGCGTATAGATGGGTATACATCTATTTTTAGACAACCCCAGAATCACATTGGTGGTTACATATCCCATGAAAAAAAAAACATCCCGCATATCCCCAGTTTTACTTCAACCACTGGTGTCTTTATGGCTGCCCTTGCCTGTCTGCGAAAGGTTCGTGACAGGATGGCTGAATCCTTTGTGAGTCGCTCGGTGGCCTACCAGTCACTCTTGGTGTCAAAATGAAATTTGGGCCCCTGCCATCTTAGCTTTGTCTAGAAGCAAAATACACGAAAATCCAATGATCAGCCATACGTTTCCCCATTCAAACGGCTCTTAAGATTTATAAAGTGATGGTATCCGGGATCCCCCTTTCTGGGCAAAGCCATGTCACCATCAGTTCTTGCTCCCAGCCGTCAACCATGTGCAGGACGCTGCCTCCTTGGACCTGTCAACCAGCGTTCTCATCTTCTCGATCCTTAAAACTCTCAGTTGGCACGATTAAATGATATTAAATGGGTCGTCTGAAGTGGGGCATATACCCATAAATTATGGCAATGTTCATAGGTAAAATGATCATAACCCATGGCATAGCGATCATTAACAATTATATGTGTCAGATTTCAATTTTCAAACAAGCTCAAACCAGTGCATGGAAATAGAGTAGATTGAGCAGCTGCGAACCAAGCGCCGCACACTGGTAGGCTCTCTTTTGCAATCCGATTGTTCCTCAGCAGGCAAATTCACGAACAAAGAACATGATGTTGGAAAGTAAGACACAAGTTTGAGCAACCACTTTCTTGACTGTGTTCCATCTTTGCTATGATACAATAGTCTGTTCTGCACCCCTCAGCACTGCTCTGTTCGGTCACTTCGGATCTTTCCCGCTGCAACGCCACGAATTCGTACCTGTTCGGAGCCAAAGCCAAGAGAGGCCAAGAACATCCAAGAACTAATGTTACTGCACCAGCTGCAGCCAGGTGCCCCTGCCCTTGTGCCTCAGGCTCTGAACCTCTCCCTCCAATTTATGGATGCTGGTCACCAGTTTCTTGTTGGCAGTCTCCTGTCAGCAATTTGCAGGGACTGCGGAGTCGCGCAAATCAAAATTGAAGGACATACAAGGAAGTCTCCACAACATGTCAAAAAGTTTCCACCTGTGAAACTTCCCAACTTGAGACGTCACAGGTCCTTGACTGTCACAGACCTCTCCAACTCTTCAACTTTGCTTTCCATCTGGTTTTCTCTCTCACCCTGGCATTCAACAAGTTCAAGTTGGCAGAACAGTGATGCTAGCAGCTGTCCAATCCAATCCAATCAGCTGCCAGTCTGAAGGACGACCTTGTTGCTGTGGAGCTCTCTTTCAAGCTGGGTGCAGCGCTCAAACCTCAACCAGTTCAAACATCCCCAGTTCTCCCAGAGCCCAGCTCACTCATCCAGGCCCTCCACCACTTGGCCATTTCTTGTCCAAGTTCATCAGCCCTTAGCAGCCACTGGCTGGATATCAAAGATTGACCGATCCAAAGCCATAGGACTTTACACACTTCGCCAACTTAGCCTCTGACGCAGGGTTCTGTCCAGTTTCATCTTCACACATGTGGACCTGGTTTCGCAAAATGATTTTTTTTGGACAGCCCTGCTTTTTGACATCGCCTCTTTGATGATGGTCAACTCACCAACTACTTGGTACATTCTGATGATCATCATGATCCCCATATATTCCTGATAAAGACAAGTTGTTTGTAGTTCGAACATGTTTGAACACAAAAAATACCTTGGCAAATGGCTGCTTGACAAAGAAGGTAAGCCATCATGCCTATCATGTCTGGATGTTTCTGGATCATACCCATTAAAAAAGAATACCCTCTGGTCATTTATATGGAAAATCACCAGTTTAACCATGAATTTATATAACCATGAATTTAACCATATGAATTGACAGTAAATGCTGCCATAACGACCTTCTCCGCGAAGTCCATATTTCGTAGTCCCTTCCCCATGGACTGCATCTCCTGGCGACGGACCCGGGCAGGACGACCCACGACAACCCAGGACCGACGTGGACGGTCCCGAAGCACGGCCAGGAGATGGCACTGAAGTGAAGTGAGACCAGCAGTGGATCTTTGACCTGCGCGGGAAAAAGAAAGTGAAATGGTGAAAAAACAAAAAACACCCGAAAATCGCCCAAAATCACACCAAAAACATATAATCAAAAATCACCACAATGACCACAAAGAAAATGACCCAAAACCCCAAACCCTGTGGTTTCTCAGCCTTTAATGATGTTGACCCATACCGGTCCATACCCGGCAGAATCCTGAGGTCCGCCATGACTGAGAAGCAAACTCTTCTCATCTGGTCGCTTGGTGAAGGGTCCAGGCCTAGGGGACATGACATCTACCCGCCAAACTCACGTAGCTATGGAACATCATCATTTTCATGGGTAAACTATCTATAACCTAGCTAGAAATTATCTAAATGGGCCATGTTCATCCATTTTCATCCATTTTCCATGGCTATGTTAACCAGAAGGTAAGAGGTGACCCTCGATCAGTGCCTCTTCAATTTGCAACGAAAGTGTCGCCACCAACCGCTTGAAGCACGGTGAACCCGCAGAGTCTCCCGACCCATTGATCTTTGGCAAGGCCGGAGGTCGAAATTTGTACGGCAAACCTGCCACTGAGAGTGCTGACGCTTGTAAGTTTTTGTAAGTTGATGTAAGTTGATGTAAGTTGATGAGTTGTTTGATACACCACAGACTTTCAGACACTTTAAAAGACTTTAGTGAACTTGAGCAATGCGCTTTCCGTCTTGGAAAAGATGTTCACAGCAAGCTCAGACATAGCAACCTTAGAGACTCGAAGAAAATGCCTCTGATAAAATCTGGTGTTCGGAAGCATGTGATGTTCACCAGGATTTCAATGAGGTCAGCACCATAGGTCCATCAGCATAAGCTCGTTCGCTTTTGAGGTCCCAGTCCAGGACAGCCTTTTTGAAAAGGAGGCTCTGGAGCATCAAGGAGATGACCTGACAGTGACTAAAGTGACTAACATGGGCAACCTTCAGCCCATGGCCTCCAGAAGGGAAAAGATGTCTTTTTCAGGGTTTGGTTGATATATCTATCAGTTACCATATGTATATAAAGTATTTAGAATTCATAATATTTGTATGTATATTGTATATATATATATCATACATATCATACATATTTTTATTCTATTATCTACCATCATTTACGGATGCTACCATGGCACCGCATCTCTGAAGTTCATCAAGTGCGCAACAGGTTCAACACCTCGGATAGCTATCCTGGAGGTTTCCAGAAATGGGGATACCCCAATAGCTAGATGGTTTATAATGGAAAATCCCATGAAAATGGATGATTTGGGGGTCTCCCCATTTTAGGAAACCTCCATTTTTGTGAGCATGTGAATCATCCTGAATCTAAAGTTTGACCAGAGCAATCTTGGCAGAGAAGTCTCCAGTACTGATACTATCCTCAACCCCCCCCGTACGGCCTTTCTCCTTCCCTGTCTTCGTCTCTAAACCCTTGCAGCCCAACATCTCAGTTTCGCGCTGGGAAGGTCTTTGCCAGCATTCACTGCTGAGATACCCTTCCTCAGGATCCAAGAATTGATGGATCTACTGTATTTGTTGATAAAAACCATGTTTTTCTGTAGACTTTCCCTAAACCAAGCCAATGATAAGAGAAATTGCCACAGTTAGGACAAGCTTGAAGCCACTCAGCTTGGGGTTTGAGGCCAAGACAAGTCCATTTCAAGATCGTACAAGCAGTTTTCCCATGTCCTGGCTGGCAGCTTGGCACTTGCATCCTAATCATCCTAGCTCCTTGTGTGCCTTTGGATACAATGAGTGCGTGCTCTGGATCTGTGCGTCCTGCTTCTCTGGAAATCTTGCGGCAAGTCCACATAGTCTCCAAGCCATTTAAAGAGTTTTCGCACATCAGCCTTTGCCATCAGAGACCCCAAGATCCCTGAGCCCTAGGCCCAGGGATTTTTGGAATGAGTCTGCACTACGTAAATCAGGATCACTGGTACACTGAATTTGAACTTTTGAACCTATCCTGGAGGATGGAACTTTTTGTCATACAAACAGCAAAATTCCCAACACACGAACCATCTTTCCGAGCCATTCAAATCCTCCAAGGCTTTCTCTTCCCCAACAGACTTATTGCATCTTTTGCTGGGCAACGCTTCTGGTCACTAAGAGCTCTTTGGCGATCTGAAGTCGTTCTGACAAGCTGGGGCCAGTCTCATCCCCTCCTTCTCTGTCGGCAAGTTCCAGTAGACAAATCAGGTCCGCAACCTTCGCTCCATTGGGATGTCCCGTCAGTAGCAGCCTTAGAGGTCGATGCAGTCGCGCACCGGAGCGACCCTGCTGCTTCAGGTGATCCACCAGCAGAGGTAAGGTGGCGCTGGAGAGAGACGCTTCCTCAACTGACAAACGTTTCACCATCTCAGCTGCATCGAAGACCAACTCCTTAAGGTTCGCATCGCTTTCCGCCTCCTCCATCGTGGCTTCCAAGGAGAAGCCGAAGATGCCGCGGATCTCGTGCAAGGCTTCGCCCAGGCTATGGCAGTGCCGTGAAGCGCAAAAGCGGACGCTCGCAGCACACAGCTCCGAGTCTTCTGCCTTTGCAATGCCCTCAGGGGTCACAGTTCGTCACAGCCCAAAAACGATCGCTTTATGCATTTTGAATGTATAGTTAAAAGATGTTAAAAGTTGAAGGGTCCAAATCTTTGGCTGGGATGGATGGTTTCCAAATTCGTCTGGCACACCAGTCGAACATCCCTGCCTCAGAGACCAAAATCCCTGGAAGTTCAGTGGCCAAGTCCTTCTCCGAAAGAATGCGATCCAGATGGGCCGTGTACTCGGACTCATCGTCGAAGCCAACACCCAGAAAGGAAGAGAAGACCGTGATCAGAGTTTGCTCACTGTGGCAAACAACCTGCAGGTGTACCGTCATTTGGGGGGGGATTTTTTGCTGTAGAATCCAGTTTCCACGATCTTTTATGAAGGGGCCTAAATTGGCCAAGTTGCCAAGCTTGGCCTCAACATGGCCGAACATAGGCCCAACATAGGCCCAACGTGGCCCAACATGCCTCACCATAGGCCCAACATAGGCCCGGCATGCCTCAACATGCCTCAACACAGGCCCAGCCCAACATGGGCCCAACATAGGCCCAACGTGACCGAACATGGGCCCAACACGGCCCAACATGGGCCCAACATACTCTCAACATGAGCCCTACAACGGCCCAAGATAGAACATCTGTGGTTTAATGTTTTTAGATGGTTTTATTGGAACTCCAGAGCCAACACTCCGGTGCGGGCGGTTCTCGTCGCGAAGCGACCAGAATAAATTGAATGAATTTATATCCTGTGGTATTCCAACATGGCAGGAGATCCACAATCTCCATCGTTTTATAGATGGTTTTCTTGTTCGCGATGGGGAGTTCGTCCAGCTTCAACTACCCCAGATCCATGATGGCTGCCTTCAACCCAAAAAAGTTCCCCACCTTTCGGTAGCGAAAGCCCTCGTGAACCACGTCTTTCGTGTAGCCTCGATCACGTGCTCCCAGCCACGGTTGCCAGCCATAGAGCTGGGCCTTGTCCGCATCTCGGGTTTCCAAAAAGGCGATTGTTCCGTCCGCCAGGAGCCATTCGGGAGAGACCCCCACAAAGAATCCACCACCCTCCTTCACCAAATTGCGACCTGCATGCTCCCAAATGAACTTTCCAGAGATGTAGCGATGATCTTGCAGCGCTTCTTTGGGGCTGCGATTGTAGAAGTACCCTAAATACCTTGCAGTTCCCCGCAACTCTTCCAAATAGAACTTCAGCCAGCAATGCAAACCTCCGGCCACTGGATGCCCATCGGAATCCTCAGACAGATTGCCAACAAAGATGTGTTCAAATGCACAGGGTCGGCCACCAGCTCGAGTAAACCAAACCTCACGGATTTGTTTCTGCCAACTATGCGAAGAGTCTTGGGATTCGTCGGATTCGTCCAAATCTAAGCCCAGGGTATCCACTGCATATCTGAAGGCTCTACGCATCACGGCGGTCCGTGCCACGATCTTAATGAAATCATCAACTGCTTCCTCTGCTTTGCTGAATGTTGCGTGATCATGGTCCAAATGTTGAAAGATGTCAAAGAGTTTCACCAAACACAGTAGAGTGGGCTTTGCGAGGATCTCAGGTGCAACACGTGCAAAAAGCGGCCTATGAGCCATCGTTGCATCTGTCAAACGAGATGCTGGTACCTTCTACAGGGTCTAATTTGTTCAAGCAAGTTCATACGCGTTTTCAGGCATTTTCAGACAATATAGTGCTTAGACACAATTTTGACCCATACTAGCACCACCCAACCTTCAACAAGTTTCGTTGCACCCCAGCCTGCGTATCAATCAAGATCTGTGCGTTCCCGTTGACCCAGGGTCTTCTCCCCTCACCCGGTTGACGTCCACTGACGCTGCATCGGTTCTCATCCAATAGCCACAGTTCGCTGCAGATGTCAAACACAGCTGGCACAGGCGGCTGGAGCCTGGCAGGATGGCCAGTCGACCCCTCTCATATCTTTTATTGTTAGGACCTGTTAGGAGATATATAGGGGGTCAAAAACTACATCACTATGTGACGAAATGGAAATCACCAACCGGAGATTTTTTTACTGCTTATATGTGCTTGGGATGAGGTTGTCACCAAAAACCACCTCAAGCTGCTGAAAACACATTCGAAACCTACCAAGCCAGTACGAAAAAAAGCCTTGCCTCAAGGCCAAATCATAAATCGACGCAGCGAAACGGGAATTGTTTGCAATGCCTTTCAGACGCTCGAAGATCCTCTCGCGGCTCTTGCTGCGTGGAAATCTCTCACGGAGAGCATCTAAGCCTTGCAGAACCTGCGAAACTCCGACGTTTGGGTCCACCGGTCACTTGCGTTTGGGTCATTGGAATCCTCTACAAGAATGTTCATCTGACACATCCCTAGTTGATGGAAGCTGATCCATCTTACCCAACAGGAACTGCTACTGGGTTCGTCTCAAAATTTGGGGATACAAGCAAAAATGGTAATATGATGCAATATGTACAGGGAAAATTATGCAACATGTGGCTTTGGGATAAGCAATTTCTGAGGTGTTTGGTTTTTCACCCAATCAGCCTGCTCTTTTTGAGCTTCCTCGATGCCCACATAGATATCTTCAAAACGTCCTGTGTCTTGGAAGGTCCTTCGGGCCTCATCGGCTCCCCTTCGAACGTTGTTGTAGATATCTGAAGCGCCCTGAAAGAAGAAGGAAGGCATGACCAGCCCACCAAAGGAGCCCCACTTGGCTCCATCCAATTCATCTGTCTGCAAATTTCGAAGAAAGCTGGTAAAGACCACAAACAATGAAAGAAATCCCATCACGGCTCCAACAAGGGTTCCCAGAGCAAAAGTTGCCACTGGATCCGCTGACACCGAGGCAGAAGGCGGAGAAGTCAACAACGTGCCGATGGGACGCAAATCAGGAACTGCTGGCATAAGCGGAGCGCTGACATTTTCGCAACCCAGATCTGCAAAGCTGCACCCCAGACCAAACACCACAAGGCTCGCAGCTGTCGCTCGTCGGCGGGCCAGAGATCTTAAGCATGGTCGCACCATAAGACTTATAACAACTGCAAACTTGTGGTGATGGACATGTTCTGTTGATGTGCGATTGGAGCTCACCATGCTGTTGCAATTGCTACTGGTCTGCTTGTAGATCTTCATTCCCACACGATGTGTGTGGCATGCAAAAAGAGTGTGTTCAAAATAGCTGCGACAGAACAGAGTGCGAGACAACCGTGCAAAGAAATCGCAAGAGGTCTGCTGCAGTGAACCTTTGCGCAATCAACTCTGCAGCATGAAAATTCTGAAACCTGCCTTCAAGGTCTCCACAAGGAAGCGATACTGTTCATGAAAGGCTTCCGCCTGTTCTTGATCTGGATCTTTTGCCTCAAATCACTTCGCAGCAACCTGAAGCTTTGGGATGTTTACTGAGTTTACTCTTTGCCATCCAGCGCTTGGCACTCCTTTTTCATGGTCGCAGGCGCAGCAACTCGACAGCATGAGAACCTGGGATGAGAACCCAAGTTCAACTCGTCAATCCTGGGTGGCTTCGTCCTCTTGCATTGACCAGTTAAATCCAGTTAGAATAATATGTATTTGTGATTAATATACTGTATAATGATACAATCTCCATCCAATAATTTTTTGATGGGCAACACGTTTGAACCGACTCCAACTTGCCAGCACCTGTTCTCAAAGTGTCCATTGCAAATGCGCGCATCTCGCAGTTTGCAAATGGCTCGAAGGGTTGATTCCACCTGGCTATATTAGGAATGTATTAGGAATGATGTCAATGAGATGTTCATAAACACAGCATAAACAAGAATTTCATAGAATTTCTGCATGGGGGTTTATCATCGCGAGAAGGGAAAATTTCACCAACAGAAATGGGCGAAAATGGCTCAGTGGCACATCTCAGCCCCTGGCGAGGAGCCTGCGCAAAAGCGTAGGGCTCGATTCCGAACCGGGTCAAGCAACTCTTGAAGGATCCATTTGTGACCTGATCAGTCTGATCAATTGAAAGTTGCAGGAAGAAACACATGGAAAAAAAGCTTTTGATAGTCAAATATCGCTCCTGATTGAGATCCCAGCTTACTACTGCCTTAGTGAAGAGAACAAGACCAAAAAAAGCCCAGGGAAGCCGAAAGTGTGCTATTCTTCTTAAAACTGAACCAGTAGACTCTCAGAATCTGTCCGAATCTTCAATGGAACTGAGCACAGCTACTATGGTCGTCTCAGGCCGTGCACAAAGCCACTCCTGAAGGAAAGGTCTTATGAGTCCACCGGAAATGGCGTTTCATTCGCGTAGGAAAGGTAGTGCGGCCAGTTTTAATAATGTATCCTAGAGTGGATGTGGCAATCAAAGGACTCGGAAATCTTTTGGTGATTTTTCTGAGTCTCTGCCAAGCATCGAAGCTGCTTTGTGCACGGCGCTTGGCAGACTCCAGGGATTCTGGCCTTTCGTCCTGAGAAAGGCATGGTTGGCGAGCTTTTGCACTGAAAGCAGCGCTCTCCTTGGGACGTAGCAAGAGGCCTAGGAAGCCAGCAATTCTACCATTGACCAGCACGGTGGGCAGGGTGTAAGCTTTTCTCATGGATGGATACAAAGCACCGCAGTCCCTGACATGTCTACACTTCACAAATCTTTTGGGGATTGCAGCTGGTCAGCATCTGAGAAGTCGACGCTCACGGAGAGAATCCAGAATCTCCATCTGCAATTCACCAGGAAACAAATGATTGCGAGCCCGCCCTTGGTTCAAACACTCAAAATGTCCAGGTCCATTGGTGCCCCCAGTGAGTGGTCAGCACCAGATGGAACCTGCTTCTCTGGCCAGATCAACTTGGCCGTCTCAATGGCTCGTGGCAAGGGCGAAGACACGACCAACTCCACCTGTCACGCTCCAACCGCCAATCCAACGTCGGTTGAAGGGAACAGAATTGACAGGAAACCCTATATTTGGATTGAAATCTGTGAAGAACCTGTAGACTTTCCCTGAAATCATCCCGTTTCTTGCTGTTTTGGAGCTTCTTCATACTTCAACTCAGTTCCACCGCCTCTGGAAGCTCCTCCTGTTGCTGAAGCACCTCACCAAGTCACAACACTACGCTTCGAATGACAAAAAACCTTTCTCTCCCACAAATACTGCTTGGTTTATCTTGGTATATAGCAACTGAAAATAATTGAAAAATCATCCACACTGACTCATTAATCACATCAATCAGGGTGCTTCATAAGATTCATAAGCTACTAGACAATTGCAGAAAGAGCAGCAATCAGCAGCTTGGCTTCCCACCTTCAGTTGTTCCCTCAAAGACTCTGCTTGCCATCGTCCCGTTTCCGTCAACGTGGCCATGGATATAGCCAGACCTGCCTCAACGTTTGCCCAGTTTTGAAGGAGCTGGAAATGATTCTGAATGATTCTGATCTTGTTAGGGTGCTTTCCAAAGGACAGCAAGAATGCTTGTCACAAGCACTGCTCTAAGCCGATGGCTTTCAAGTCTTGCCCGGCCTCAGAAGCCCGTTGGATGATGCGACTCTCGCACCAAAATGAAATGATTGGGGCCCCATACTGCAAAAGATGTCTCCGCCGCTGCGTTGGCCTACCGAGATTTCACTACATGGTGTATACATGGTGTCCTGCATTAGAAGCAAACCACCGTTGCCGAGTACGTTGATATCCCACCTCTGAATGGCCATGCCGCATCCACAGGAACACCTTCGGAACCCAGCGACCACTGCTGATGAACCGCTGGTTTTCTCAACGAGACGCTTTATGACTTTTGACCCCCACTTGCCGACCTTTCTCGCAGCGAGTGAGCAAACTTTGCCATGACGCCCGTTCGAGCATGGGGACATTGGCTGACATGTGCTGATATGTCTTGTCGACAGAAGGAGAGCTGAAGTCACTTGAAAAAAGGTGTGCTCCATGGCTACAGTCATTGGCAACCAACTTGCTTCGATTAGACTTTGCCCATTTCTCACAATACGTTCAATAAAGATTGTACAGTTTGAAAAGAAACACAGATGTCCTGGCAACATCAGCAAAACAAAGCCACCAATTACCCAAAACGGTGGTTCAATGGACCATATATTCGGTTCTTATTTATTTCAAGGATATGGATGGATGCAGTTTGGAATTCTGAATCATCCTTGAAACCTCGAGCAGATTGGTGCACAGTCTTAGTGGTTCGCTGATGCCGTCTGACACAGCCAAAATCAAGAAACAATCTGTTCTTGCCATTTGCAGGGTCCAAACTTATCACTAGAATATCTTCAAAAAGAAATGTGTCCAGGGAACCAGGCGCTTTCACTCATCTCTGATGCTAGCTGGGTCTGCTCATCAAGGCTCGCTTTGAGTTCCATGACTTTCTCCGCCCATACCTTCCACAGCGAACAGTACTGGTGGTTGAAAAACAGATCTGAAAAAGTATGAATTGGGAATCATTTAAAACAAGAAATATGTCCCCAACCGGAATAATATATTGCGAAAGGCACTTTTGCTGGATTTTCATAATTTTCTTTATTTCCAGGCAAATCAAACCCTCAGTTGATCAAGAAACCAACTAATTCATTGCCTTTGCTTCATTCGCCCTTGCATCAGCTTCTTTTGGAGTCTTTGCTGCACTCCTTGCACCACAAGTGACAACTTGCATATTTACCGGGAAGCACTATTTGGGGGCATTGGTGCCCAGAAAAATGAAAAACCAAACAAACCAAACCTTGGTTCTATGATATATGTGAACTTGTTGCACCATTTGCACCTCAATCACTTAGAGTTCCCGACCTGCTGTCAAGTTTTTCCAGTTCCAGACTTTTGATGCGAATATCTTCGGTTACCTGCGGAGTGTCAACAAGCACTCCCTTGATGTTTCCATGCACCAAGAGCCTTGCAAAAGGGCCTTGTCGTTGCGCTCCGAAACTGTGCGCAGCCGGAATTGGTCAATGGGCCTCAAAGCGAAAATCGGAACATGGTAAGGACAAAGATGCAATTCACACACATCTGAGTTACCAACATATTTGCGAACCATCTCAACTTTCAGTTTCTGGCGTTAAAACGATGTGCTGAAGCCTTGTTTGTTGCAAGTTGTTTTTTTCTGATTGGACCTTGTATTAAGTTTATTCAAAGAGAAAATCCGAACTCCGAATTGATTGGCAGTGGTCTTATCAGTCACTATTGTAAATTACAAATGAAAATCGAGATAGGTTTGGTGTCTGTTGATTGTTCCACCTGCGGCGCAGTGGGCGATTCAAGCCAGAGAAACCTTCGACTGGTGGCGTAATGGACGCAGGAAGGGTTGTCCCGCTACACTGACCAATGTGTCACACAACAAAACAACGTGGAGACAGCAGAAGTATGTCCAATTCGCAAATAGCCTCCATATACAGGTAATCGAAATGTTGATTGCCAAGACAAATATGTGGATATCAATAGCGTTCCCGAATAGAATTGAAAATGGCATTCACAAGCAGGCAACTGCAGCAGCGCAATGTTTTTTGCTATGCAGTTGGCCTGTGCGGCTGGGTTTCTGTTTTGATGCCACATGCATCAACCTCATCAACATGGTTCCCTCCTGGAACCAATCAAAACTAATCGTAGTGTCACAGTGCATTTCCACCAAACCGCGAGACCCGTTGGTTTGCCCGATAGGCTGATAGGTGTTGAAAGAACCAGGTGTTTGAACCACCACGACAAAAGAAAAACAGCCGCGAGCACCAGGCTCCAGTGGACCTTAGGTGGCCCTCTGATCGGTCTTACGTCGTTTGCAATTAGGTCTTAACGGTTGACTATCCAAAAGCGACCAAAGAAACTTAAAACGGGAAAAAAATTCACTCTCTGGTAGTTGACGATCTGGCCGGAACCAGGTGAAGTGAGGGTGAATAAGTTCATCGGCCCATTGGTTGAAGTCTCTCTTCATGTGCGAAGGGGCACACTGAACTTAACCCCTGCCTTATGGAGCATGACGATGAGCTGCATCAAAAAGGCAGAAGTGGGCATTTGCTTGGTCTTCTGGTTGAGGAGTGCGAAGATGTTGCCCTGGTTGTCGGAAATCAAGCTCAGCCGAGTACGGAGCAGAGCTTTGCTTCCCATCAGCAGAAGGAAGTGCCGAACATTTCCAGACTGGAAATCCGACGGGTTGGGTCACCGTCTTCGTGGGCCCAAGAGTGATCCTCCAGTGGTACTTGGTAGTGGAACCACCATGTGTCGTTCTTGGGTCCTCTTTGTCTGCAAGCCATCCTCCAATGTAGGCCCGGCCATCTGGATGTGCGCTGGCATCGCTAGCCCCCCGCCAGTTGGAAGCCGGGTCGTAGGGGCAAGGTTGGACCTGAGGATGGTGAGAAGATGAAGTAATAGTTGAGCAATCGAGCGAATGAGCTTGCTGGGTCTCCCCGAGGTGTAGCTGCCTTCCATGCCCAGAAGGATTGAAAAGGGCGACTGAGTGGCCAGGCAGAGGTTGCCCAGTTCAGTCAGCCTAGTGCCCGTTCAATGTCCTTAGATGTAAAGGAGTTACCATCAATCATCCTTTGGAGCCCCAGGCTATGCTTCTTGTCCAGGGGAAAATCCACCACTGGTCCACAGGGGTTGACCTGGAAGCCCAACCAAGTGTTGACCTCAGAAAGGACAATTGCGCAGTGTCCTCAGTTGCGATCTCCGTCCTGAGGAGCCAGCAGAAATCGTCAACAAAGACAAAGCCCCAGTCAATGCGTGGGAAGATCAAATAGCAGAGTCTGAGCAATATGGCAGCCAGTCTGCCCCAGTACAGTTGGGCACTTGCCATGCCATAGGTGCCCACCTTATTGATCCACCATTCTCCATCCAGTTTGTGCCACTTGGAATCGCCACCCCTCCTGTGTGACCTTGATTCGCCTGTGGGCCTTGGAGGCATCTGCTTGAGGATTGCCCAAATGGTGGTCTTCTGGGGATATGTTCACCCCATGTCGGTGCCTTGGGCCACCGCATCCCTCTTTGGTCGTGTTTAACCAGTGAATGGCTTGGATGCAGTCCGGTGGTCTTCTCCACCGTTTCTAACACTCTCACACTGGTAGTAAAGCACTCATTAAATATAGGCTTATTTAAAACACATATATAAAACAATAGTCAGCATCATATAAAGCAGCCCGCACAAAATCAGAAATCACGTCGTCGAATCGCTCACGCCAAACTTTCCGTCTGAAATCGTTTTCGCTCGCCAATCGAATTTACAAATACGAAAATTAAAAACAAGCAGCAACATAAGTGAAAAAGTTCAGACACGTGACAAGGTAGATCGTGCAGCAATCACTTTTTTTTTCTTCAGCGACTTGTCGGGGGAAAAACGTCAAGTCCGGTTGAAAGTTTCCGCAACCGCAGGTTTTCACGTCCCTCACTCAGAGTCAAGTGAGTGGACATATCTTTTGGTTTCAAAGGTCACAGTTCGACCAAAGTGGTTTGCTCTTTCCCCCAGGGTGGGATTAAAGAATTTGGGTGGGAGAAAACGAAATGGTTTCAGCTAAAAGAAAATCACAGCTCTTCAAATTCAAAGAGCTCCCTCCCTACCCTACCCTTCTTTTATGACACGGAGTTGAAACCAAACCAAAAACAGCTCAAACTTACGCCATATAGCGACGGGTTATCTACGCACTTACAAATCTAGAAACTTAAATGAGGCTATCGCCACGGTAAGAATAGGTCGCGATATAAACATATATATACATATGTATATATACAAACATCACTGAAACTGCACGAGAATCACAGTTCGAAAGCCGTCTTTTTCAAGCGCAAAGCTGAGACATGGGGAATTCAAGTTCCATCAAACGGAATGAACAGATGGACACTTCTCGTTGTCCCATACGTCCTTCGGATTCCTTCTTTGAAGTATCCAAACATTGAGTTTCATTCCAAAAAGATAAAGCACTTTGCTTTGCAAGCTTTCTTCCTTGTACCCCCGTACTCCTGTACGCGGACGTTTACGTAAGGAAAAATTTTGGGGAACAAGGGAGGGCGGGGACAAAATTTTTGGGAAAAGGGTTTCTTAACCCACCGCGCACACCACTTGAACTAGGAAAATGTCCGTGGACATAAAATGTTACTTCGCATGACATTATACATTGAACATGTGAGACATGTTGAAGCAACATGTTGTGAAAGCTTCTTGACTCAAACGTGCGTTCGTTTCGTTTTTTTTAAGCAACTGAGTACTTCACAGTTGAACATTAGTTGAATAGTGCAAACAAATCACTTCGATTTGAACAGCACAGAAACGCGTGTTAGCTGGTATCTTGACATATACTCTGACAGGATGAACTCAACATCCAAAACTGACATACATTCTGACTCGGGTAGCAGGAGGCAAGAGAGAGTTTTTGGTTTGGAGGAAAGTTCAAAAAGGAACTTTCAAAAACAACACCTTTGTCATAAGACATCATGAGTTTTCAACTCAAGTATTGCTTATGACACGGAGTTGAAACCAAACCAAAAACAGCTCAAACTTACGCTATATAGCGACGGGTTATCTACGCACTTACAAATCTAGAAACTTAAATGAGGCTATCGCCACGGTAAGAATAGGTCGCGATATAAACATATATATACATATGTATATATACAAACATCACTGAAACTGCACGAGAATCACAGTTCGAAAGCCGTCTTTTTCAAGCGCAAAGCTGAGACATGGGGAATTCAAGTTCCATCAAACGGAATGAACAGATGGACACTTCTCG